AAATACCCGGAAATTCACATACCATTGGAATACGAGTGTTTCCAATGTACATGCCACACTTAAGAAGCAATCGTTTTAATTTTATTTAAGAATAATCTTCATATTGTTCGAAAATAAAATTTATCCAAGAAAATGTCCCGCTATCAAATCCCAAATTTTAGCGTTAAATTGCAAACCGTTGTGAGAATGGTGATAAACTTGTCAGATTCGCCATAATAAAGCATGTTCATCGTGAGGTAAGCAGTTTGTTTCTACAATTCTGAAAGTGATACTATTTTATATATTTATTTGAGATGCACTCCTAGTTTAAGGCTATGATGATTTTCTAAAGCTCTGTTGATATAAAGACAATGGAAATACCTGGCGCGTTAAGAAATATAAGCACCTTTCGACACCCCCCCCCCCCCTCCCCCCTCCCCCCCAAAACAACAACAATAATAATAAAGGGGGATACGTTCTCTAAGAAATGTCATCGGCAGGTGCATTCGTGGAATTCAACGCTACAAATAATAGTACAGAGAGAAGCTTGGTTATTCTTGATGCTATGACTAGTATGAGGGCACAGGATCATGGACTCGTGGTCGTGCACAAAAACATGAAAACTGAGAGAGAGAAGAAGTTAAAATTCTATTAGAACTGTCCCTACCCCAAACGAGAACTTAAATACGGAATGATTGAGGATTTGTATGTATAATACATTTATATTTCACGTTTTATTTTGTATTATGTATTATTATTATTAAGGAGTCTTTATAATGCTTAGTGCGAAATGGATTTTATATTTTATCAATGATTAATAAAGCTTAATGAAAAATATGTAGTCTTAAATTACGGAAAGTAAAGATGAAATGTTATATTCAGTAATCTAGAAATCAGGATTAATATTCTTCTGTGCATTCCTTAAATGGGTAATGATTACATACGTCACGCAAACGCAAAACGGTCTCTACGTGTCCCAACATATACATTGAGTTTATATTTACTGTTGATTTGTGAGGTATAGTATAGGAAATGTCATATATTATAGCAGCTACAAAAACCGTGCTTGAACTTCGCCAAGCACGTGAGAGTGTCTCCAGAGGCTCAATACGTCGCCCCCGGGGCCGCTCGGGAAGCCTGCCGCGCTCGCTGGCATGCATACCGTCTACTAAAGCTTTAAAGAAGTTTGTCGTCTGGGATAACTCTTCGTGCATGTGCATGGCTTGTTTGGAAGTATAGCAGCTTACACGAGTTCACAGAAGGCTCCCTGAATATTTTTCTTTTGGGGGTTCGCACCCTTCCCCCTCAACTTCATACCGTCCGTATTTTGTTATGTTTTATTCAGCGGTTATTACCAAAAACTGTTTTTCCTTGAAAGGCCAGTGTAAGAAGGACAGCGAGCATCGTACCAAATCATTTTACATAATTCCATCATCTGGTCGACAAGGAATGGTATGAGATAGAAAGAAAAAGCAAACACAGCAGCCCCTCCCAAAGAAGTAAAACATACAAGTTAACAAAAAAGGCCCTGCACACTGCCTCAGCTGACAACACATTGAACACATTTTTTTTCCCCTGACAGTTTAAACATTTTCAGCATGCAGCCGCCATATACCGTAAAGCGTTTGTGGCGCATTTATGCATGATTTAATTTAAACAAAATTAATTTTTCGCGTCTTGTGAAATCGATTCCTTTTTAATATGATTAATAATGATATGCGCGTTTATTACTTTGTCATCACAGAAGTACATGTATACTTGCCGCCATATCCAACAGTAGTGAGACTGAGAGAAATGTATAATACGTAAATGGGCTTTTACCCCCTTCTCTTTCGTTGGTTGAAATCGTTCAACTGAGGGTGAGTTCCCCGTTCGGAACAAAAGGTAACTCGTTCAATGGCCTTTCATTGTCCGTGCGTAAGATTAAAATCTGATTCTGAATAGAGTAATTGACGTTGCTCGGCGTTCCATGCCAAAGACGAGATGAAAGAGAAAACCCACAAATTTATTTATCGGCTGTCCAGATAGAAAAAGCTGAACATACGCGGAGCCGACTGAGATTGCTGATAGAAAGAAGAAAAACCGCATTAGGGTTGTCTGTTAATGCAGAACACGCGCGCACGCGCACCCGCCCGCTCACATACGTTGCACTGCCAATGTATATCGCGCTTAGCACACATACACACACCACACACAAACCCACGCACACATAGTATAGTCACCCACATAATTAAACACGCACACCAAACGCGCGCATGATACACGGTAGGACTGATCGCTCATCGTATAGCATTTTATTTGGAATTAGCAAGTTTTACTGCACAACGTCATTCGAAACACGTACACGGTATAAAGTCAACTATAAGCCATACATACATGTATATTCCTTTTTTAATCTTTCAGCTGTAACGTTCACATGTCGTAGAAATAAGTAATTGGGTTCAAATTCCATGAAGAAGAATGACACTTTGAGTGTTTATAATGATTCATCGTTTGTAAGATCAATGGTCAGTGCTTCAACGGATGATATCCATCATCTATTGATTGGTTTTATGCAAATATTCATATCTTTGCAAGGCACTTACTACTGTAACAATCACATTTTCCATGGTGATATGTATAACTGGACACATAATGAAATCCCCAGGGAAAAAATTAATATTTATTTTTCGGGGGCTACTTTTCAAGCTTGCCTGCATGAAAATAACATTCTAAAATTTGTTTTGCATTGAACTCTATGCAAATTTACAGGGGCTCTTTTCTGATTTTCGGGGGCTCTTTTAGGCATTTCGGGGGCTAATTCGCCCCGAGCCCCCGTCTATTTTTTTCACTGGAAATCCCAACTGCTAAGAATCTTTGGGTTTCATGCTATTGTCACATCTAATAAAAGAAACCTGACAAATTAAACTTGGAGGCTTACCGAAGTATTGAATTTGTCTTGTTTTCAAGAGATGTTTAGAAAATTGGATTTCACTCCCACATACGGACAGGTATGACACGATGCGGCGAAAAGTTCTGTAACAATGCCCACATTTAGTCAATTTTTAAAGGATCGTTCGGAATAATATGCAGGGGGGTTGGAGTAGAGCTGAATCATTGGTGCTTACATGAATGGTTGATATAGGAGAGTTTTCATCTGAACACCCCTGAAGCTAGAGAACGCTCGAGCATTAGATCGTCAGGCGTTCGTGCATGAGTTAGGGGGGAACAGAAAGCAGGCGGTCCGGTGGATGGCTCAGCTCGTCTCGTCGTACTGTTTCTTTGGATGCCCTCAAGCCGAGTTCGTTTCAGTCCAATGGGTGCGAATGTACTTTAGCGAGGTGTGCCCCTCACGACCCTCCCTACCCGGCCGGGTATGGAAGTTGTATTTAATGTTGACCCTGGCTGTGCTTTCTACCCTATAATGATATCAAAGAGAAGCTGCTCTGGCTACATCTAATTATATTCTACCGCTTTTGGTTTCGAGTGGCAAAGATGCTCTCGATAGATAGGCCTTTACATTATTTAGACGGATTAAGAATGTGTCCTTTGTAGTTTGTACGATTCTTTATATTCTCAGGCTAATTTCTGTACGAAAATACGCATTTCCTACCTGTCTCTGAGCGTACTTTATCCCAATATAAGACGGTGGAAATTAAAATTTCCCTCTTAAATATTTTTGTAATATAACAGACCCACAATATAACTGTCAATTCCTCATTTTAACTCTTCTATATACCTTCTTGTATTAACTACATACATTTTAAACCGCGAGTGAACACATAAATCGAACCGTGCAAAATATTAAAATGTAGCCCCCTTCATTATTATGGTTATTTAGTGATGGTATGTATAGTTTATCTTGATTTTAATTGGAGATAATTCTACCGCTGTGTCGTTATGGAAATTCATATTTCTTAAATGAATTCACGAGCCTTTAAGCATGGCAGTTCAAAGTAGTATGGTTTCCGTATTATTTACAAGATGTGGTGGTGGGGTAGTTCCTTTCGAATCCGTGTGGTCATCATGCATTTCCTCTTGAACTATGGATGTACTAGCGTGCTTGCAATAACAAATATTATTTCTATAGTGGACTGTTTGGTCGAATTGTATTTACATTCATTCACTTTAAAGCATGCAATGCCAATACGAGTCGAACAACGTTATGGACATTATTACAGACAAAGGGGTTAACATTTTCTAATCGCTCTGCCAGTTTCGGAAGTAATAAATTGCAGGAATTGCATCATGTGATATACTGTTGGCATAGCTGCCAACCATTCCTATTTTTGATGAATGATTCCTACGATGGACTTCCAAACTAATGTTATGAACAGTTGATTCCTCTCATTTTAAAAGAAAACAAAACAAAACACGTAAAAATATACAAATTTACTCTATTCCTAATTTGCCTTGAGAAATTCGTAATGTTTATTGTGAAAGGTTGACAGGAATGCCACAGGCAAAATCAGACGAATGCCAGGCGCAGAGGTTCACGTGAAGACTGATGTAGACATTGAATAGCATGCACTTTGTGGAAGAAAATCTCGTGGATAACGGCTGATTCATACGCGTTTCTTTCAAAGTATAAGTCGAAGATATAGGGAAAGTAAGATGTAAGCCTGGTCGATACTGTCAGAGGTGCGGTTATCGTGCCAGGAACCAGTACAAGCTGTAGACTCTCTCACGCAATCAACCGCGGTGACCTCACCCATTTCAAGGGAGTTCTTCTGCAGGACTTTGTGGCAACGTCGTATAAAGAGGAAAGATGCGTGCCCTCTTGAGTTTCGACAGCATTATGAGCTTGCCTCTGTGTTACGGTTGTGAGTGGGGATGCAGGTTCAAGTTAAGTTTTTAACTGATCTCAACCCCCCCCCCCCCCCCTCCGCCACATACACCCACTCACACGTAAGCTTAAAGTCTACCTGTTTCTTCTTGTGTTTCTCTCTCCATCAGACTCTGTGATCCGTCTAGTTTATCCGTAACAGGTGATCATAGGCAGCTTACAATCATAGGAGAGAAAGTGTGTGTGTGTGTGTGTATGTGTGTGAGAGAGAAATAGAGACAAAGAGAGAGGGGGTGGGAGAGGAAGAGGAGAGAGAGAAGAGAAAGTGGTAAGCTAGGCAGGTTTTTATACTATTTCTAATAGATATTATTTTAAAGGAGTTTCGCCTGCTGTCTGAAGCAAAGGCACCATGTTGCTCTTGAAATATATCTTGAAAAATCAGTCAAAAGGTTATCGGAAACAAGATTTCATTGGTTGCCACAGTGGTGTGGATTTCCAAAGATAATATTAGGCCTATATGTTTTGAGGGGATTTTCTTACAGCGGTTCAAAAAATAATTAGTACTAACCTAATTAGTACTATTATTAATTATTGTTGACGGTTTGGTAATTAGCTTTGCGATAAGGAAATTACATTTATGTCTACGTACAGTGGTACTGAAGAAAAATAAACAATCTTGTTGATTTTGAATTCTAACTATAGATGTTGACCAGTAGAAAACAGAAGAAGAGGAAACAAAAAAATTCGAGATTGTTTCGGACATACTCGGTATAATTTATATAATAAGCAATTCAACTTCTTCATGAGCAGGTTCAAATTTTTTACCTTCAAGGCATGGGCGATACAAGTTTGAATTCAACCTTCAATCGATTTTCTTCTTTTTCCCGTGACGATACTATGACTTTGAAACCTGAATATATTTATACTTTGGAGGGTCGGGATGTTTGTTTACGCATTGATCAAAATCAAATCTAAATTTAAACTCTTGGAAGTCTTTCTAAAACAGGAATTTCGGTTCACCGAAGTAAGGAAAGATCATACCATCTCTTAAGGTTTTTAGCATGGATTTATAAACAATGTCAAAGTGTTCCTACAAAAAATATGCATAGTTGAGGAGAGCACGAAAAATGGTTCCCAGATGTCATCTGAACATAGGCATATGGAGTGTGAGTTTAAATATAGATCAGATATCGTGATGGCATCTTTATAATGGGAAACACTTCGTTGATAAGGTCAAAAGTATATACCTTCTTGGAATATCGCAATAAATTGTGAAAAACTTCTCTACAACTTAGCCAATGCAAACCAGAGTTTTACCTTATGCTATTGATCTTTGAATTTAAATATAATTCTTAAAATACCAATGATAATATATATATATTTGATTAGTCCACATTTTTTATAATTATTTTGTATCACTAGTCCACAGTATGTAGAGTCCATGGTACAAACGGCTTTCTTATCGATACCATTCCACCCTCTTTTCATTCGCATAGTGTCAATGCGCACCGCTGGGATTTCGGCGCGCGGCAAGACTTCCATTCCAGTTTGCCACCACTACATCTATCTCCTCATCCAGAATTATTGTCCATGAAGAAATAATACCGGTCTCGAGCCAGCAGACAGAGCTCAGCAGACTCGATGAGACAGGTTCACTGTCAGACAACGCACCTAGCAAGAATGTGAGAGCCCCACCTCACTCACCGTCATATCCCTGTTTTACCGACCGACCGACCGACTCTCTGCCCGGGATCACTCGGGAAAATGAATATGAACTCGCCTCCATGCTAGAGGGTCAAGTTTATCACGTGACGAACGAACCGGCGTTGTTACCCATTATGAATTGGCAACCAGCCAACTTCGTGATTTCATTTCAGTCCATTGACAGCACATGTTGGATTTAAAATTTAATTCGAGGTCTTGCTTCAAAGCGTACATGATGTTATCATATTTTTTTTAATGACTAGATATTTTGTTATCATTTTGTAATTTTCAATTTACTGTAAAACCCGTATTTGTTCACGAGTGGGGAAAACGTTAGTGTTCTGCATTGATGGAGAAAATCTTCTTTTTCCAAAAGACAAAGAAATACATCCCATGTAAATTATAAGTCTTTATTGAACTATGAATCTGCTAAAACCATAAAACCGTGTCAGAGTATAAGCATTTATCTTTGCTATTCAATATCGTCATCAAAATAGACTGGGATGTTTGGATAGTCAGCGCATAAGATGAGACAAATAATGATACATTGATTCTCATAGTGTTTCGATCTATGTGTACTTCTCCTGGTAAGCGCGCCCACGATGATGTTGATACACCTGTAAGCCCATAACCGAAATGAGATGCTCGACTCAATCAACATCATCTAGAAGAAACATGCAACATGAACGGGGTCAAAGCCCTTTTGGCAGCACTTAAAACCCATGTCGGGACATGGCGTACGAAGCTCGGGATAATCTACCTTGTAGTCATGCTAGTCATGAACGCTAGGCTTTGTTTTCAGATTCTGTCCCATATTAGGGAAAAGCAGTCCCATTTACTATTCTTGTTAACGATTTTAGTTTAGAGTCTGTGGAATGGGTCCTCGAATTGATGAGGGAATCCGCGTAACTTCATTAAAATCTGCGGTGAATATGGCCCGGAGTGTATGAAGAGGTTATTCGTAATGGGTATTGCCCGAATAGGGGTACCGAATAATCAGTATTGTCTTGGATGGTGGTTTTCTTTTATCGTTCGCATAAAACGTAAAATGCCAATTAGGCCCTACACATGAATAGAGAGTAAATGCCTACATAATATGAAACCCCTCTCCTCGTTGCAAGGCAATTAATTCACACTTTACATCTTCTTTTCATTATTAAATTTTGACGCAGTTAATTCAGTGTTTAACATGGAACGCTATTCTACTGAAAATAAATGAATTGATAAATTATTATATCAGTGAATAAATTAATAAATTAACTTGGCTCAATAAGTTCTCACGACAAACTCTCGGGAATTAAACGAGAACATTTTAGATTTGCTGTTTGTCGACTGGCAAAGTATAGGCCTTTAGTTTTGATATCTTTGACAGTGTTACTTTCAATGATTTGTTATTGATATAATTCCTTGATTTTAGTGCAATTATGTCAAATCATTTTTAGAAAGGATGTAATGGTGAATGTGCTCAGAGAAAGCGCCAGTCAGAATGCATAAGAAATGTCTGACTGAAAATGTTCGCTTCTTCTGGATACTCTTGGATACCGTTTTGTCCGTCCTTTACGGGATGGTGACCCGGTTGCATTTTATCACCGCGCAGCTATCGAGATACCAGGTTTATTATATTTATTACTACCCATGAATTTTCTTCTTTCTCTTGTCCCCTCCATCAAGTAAGCATGCTTTAGATCACATGAAGCTCATATAGCAAGTCGTGGTCATGAAATGATGTGTGCATGTTTATGCATGACCTTTATCTTGATATGCAGAGCCGTCGAACACATTGCCCGAGGCACACCAATACAGATGCGTGCATTTAAAATGCGCGCGCATATGAGACATTTGAGAGGGAGAGCGTAGGAGACGATGAAAATCCCGCCAAATGAATACCAGCAAGTGTAAGGTCGTAGTGAGAATGGCTGCTAACCTGCCGAATTCTCTACGTCCTGCTATGCACACATAAGTTTCTATTTGGTTTTGTAGTCTTCTGCGCTGTTTTCCTCGCGAGACATAATCGCCCAATTCATGTTAATTTTCTTGTGCGTTTTCGCAAAAGCAAACACGGCGAGGGATTTTGCAAGCAGCAGCTATGTCACGCTTGCTTTCGAAAGTAGAAAACGAGGAGAAGGAGAGAGGGGAAGCAGCAGTGTCCCCGGTAGGCCTGCAGAATGGCATGAATTGAGTCGCCTCAATTCGTTCTCTCATGCATGCGCGAAAGCGGAGGAGAATTCATTGCATAGGAAATAAGCCAGGCACAATAGGAGGTGACGGAGACAGCGCTTAGTTGGTCGAGGGCTCGCGTATTATTATCAGAGAGAAAGAATATGCCACTAAAAAGAGTTTCAGAGAAAGAGAAAGGGGGAGAGTGTACGTGTGAGAAAACAGAGAATGATAGAAACAGGGAGAGCGGACAATGATAATGAAATTCGTCTGATTGAAAAGTCTTTTTATACCCAAAGAGAAGAAAAATATTCCAAGATGTTTATCATGTTTGTTCACCCAATGCCCGAAGTACAGATATGGCACAGAATCCTTAGTATGCGTATTATTAGTATTACGGAAAATATAGTGCAAACGCTATGTATTTTTTCCTACCCCTTTAAAGGTTATTATAAGCACGAAGTTTGAATTAGGTAATGTGTTTCTATAGTTTTCCATGTATTAATCATTCTATGTAAACAAAAAAGAAATGCACATCATTAATTCAACAGGATCATAAAGGAGTTTGTATAGGCTAGAGAGCTTGGTATCATGGGGTACAGTATCAACTTTAGGACAAACTTGAAGTTGGATATATAGGCTAAATATAGGTGGAGTAAATCCCCATAACAATTATATACTTTACCCTATATTATTAAAGCTCAAACATGACTTGTATAGAGTGTGTAGGCTTCACATGTCGAATTCAGCATTAATATCGTGTACTCGTTTTCGAAAAAACATTGATGAAATATTTTTTACTATTCTTCTTTTTCATCGTCTTTTTGTTATTTACAGGAACGTGAAGATAATGGCGCTGCCAAAGACGTCACCATGGAATTCATAAACAGTAAGCTATAAATCATCTAGCATTTTGCTAGGGTTTCCGTTTGTCTAGGCTAACCGGGTGTTTACCCGGGAAAGCCTAGGCATAGGAGGCTAGATTTTAGCGTTTTTCGACTCGTACGGGATCCTTCACTGGCCAATGGCACAATCGCCTTGCGTTCGACCAGGGCACGGTGAAGCATCACCAACCAGCTTCGATCACCAGCAGAAGAAGGAAGAACCTGAAGCCTCTCTGGAAGTGCAGCAGCAGCATTCAGAGAAACGGCAACCTCAGGGCAAAGAGCCAGTACTTAATCAGAACCACCTATCGTCTAAAGACAGTTCACCGCCTCCAAGACAAGAACCCAATCCTGATAAACCAGAGACGGTGAGTGGCCGACAGCCTACGAAGCATCGAGCAACCGTAGCTACTTCAGCAACTTCTGCAGAGGCAACAGCAGCGGCTCCCGTGTCAGTTACCACATCCAACAAACACTCTCTTCGTAGTCCAGTCTTTGCAGATCTTCCTATATCATCAACATCATCAACATCATCGTCAAAGGTCAACGAAACATCGCACTCCCAACTCGGGGGATCGAAATTACGAGGCATTACCGTTGGTACCACCAGCGGTATTCGTAGCTCTACCATCACAATCACAAGCAAGGGGAAGCCGACTTATGACAAGATGGAAGCTTTAGGAGGTGAGTTTTAAATGCCCTCAGTTCAAGTGAACTCTGGGAACTACGAAGTAACAAAGAATTTCATATTTTCTGTTGATAATCAAAAATTATTTCATGTTGCGGACAAATATTGACAAGTTTATCCAAGTGCACGTTTCGCACAACTGCAAGTTTATCCTTTGCAAACATTGCACCCTTTCCGAGAGGCAACAACATTATCGGCATGCTCTGTGAATGGCATGTTTCAGTAATGTAAACAAAATTACATTCGCGTGACTCTGAATATTTTTGAATTTTCCTAATGATAAGATCATGTTCGATCGGCGAAATTTAACTGCCGAAATTATTATTGATAGAATGATAGAAGAGAAAACCGGGCTGGAGCATGGAAAATATGATGTCGACTATGCCTTGACCGCATGCAGCGAATGTATATATATGTCACACTACGATTTAGTACATAAGCTGATTTAATAAAGCATTATTAGACATCTGGAAATATGCTGACTCATTAATCATAGCCACTTTGACAAATAACGGCAAGCGATAGAAACAAAAAGGGGAATTAGAGAGATTACGTTGAATGCGTTTTGACGTTGGCATTATTGCAGCATTCAGACGCCGTTCTCAGACGAAACGGATGAAATTATCTGCTACCAAGTACGAAATGTCGCGATTATCGGAAATGAAAAACAGACTGAAAATGTGCTGTTGGGACAATTTCAACGTTTGCTTTGTTAATTTGTGATAGGTTGAAAATGCCAAATAAGACGCATAAATCCAAGCGGCGAAATGTCAAGATATGCTGGACGGTGATGAAGTTTTAATGATAATGAAGTTCACATTAAACGTGAGTCAAGCTAATTACAATTTCTGGGAACGTATCACAGAGATACAATGCTCTGTGGGCAAACGAACGAGCTACAGCGTGACGAGAATGAAATGAAGGAAGGGAGATGGGTACCAGCTTCTTGACCGAGGGGTTTTCCAGATGGACATTTCTTTGAAATGACGACAAAATAATAATGCACGCCACACCGTGTGCAAATCCATGAAACTTTCCTTTCAAGTCTTGTGACATTGGACCTTAATCATGTGATTTTTGACCGGTTGATGTGTCGTTTTCACATGTATGTCCATCTCTTTCTCTTTAAATGCAGTATATATATTTCATTGTAAATACAGTATTCACCAATTGCCGATGCTCATTGGGTTGAATGGACAAATTATCACAATGAGCAGTTACATAAATATCTCTATACACAGATCTTTTATGAGAACCAATACATTATAAGGCTAAATTTCGACATATTTCCACCGTTCGATAATATTTTTGAGCTAAAAATGCACCTTTTGTATAGCCCTGTTGAAGGTCAAGTAGGTAGCTAGAGCAACAGCAAGTGAGCATCTCCCTCCTTGGTAATATTTTGTTTTCTGTTTCTTAAAAAAATGTATTTGATCAAGATTGAAATTAGCGAGAAAAATGTCGCTCGGCTACCCAAAGTAAACCAATGATATTGAGTGCTCCATACCTGCCCAAGAATAAAATGCCTAGATTTACTACACTTTAACTATATACGGCATCTAATTTACACGTTTCTTTTATATTTTACTTTGTAATTCTGTTTGTGTTAACGGAATATATTCTTGGACTTAGATCTAGATCTGCATATAAATTGCTGGTAGTATTATAATCTCCCTGTAGAAGCAAATCGATTAATGGCCCAATTATTATTCTGCCACATAGGATTACCCCGAGTACAAAATAACAATTTTCATTCTCATTAGAAAAATAATTTTCTCTAAAAAACGGTTAATCTTTTTTTTTTAAATAATAAAAAGCCGACCGTCAGATTTTAAAATTGTTGGGTCGGTCGCAAAGGGCAATACAACACATTTTTGTTTGTTAAAGCCTGATGCGTATATGGGCGTGACCTTGCACGACGTCATCATCTTCATTGTCATTGATGCCACATGCAGACTCTGATCGACGACGGAATGAAGGAAGAGAAATATGACATTCAAGGAGATAGTGGTCAGTCTTGAAATGATCGATAGACTGTATCAATTTTTTATGAAGAAACTGTTTGCTCTCAGGGACGGATGCTAAACCATGCAAAATAGATGCAATCCAAATGTGAGTTTTGAGACTATCGGGTGAATATATGGTTGATAGAAGGTCGCTGTGGCAGCGGTAGTTATAGGGCTGAGTTATGAATTTCTAAGCCAGATGATTGAACCTGAGACAACGATATGCACAAAGTGGCAACATTGTGCTTATGAAGTCAGTACAAAAAAAAGTTAAGTCTATGAAAGAAACGCTCTTAAAGAAAAGAAAGGAAGAAAAATAAACGAAAACGAGCAAACACATACAATGGAGGAGCAGCACTACGGATATGGATTTTCATATACATTTCAATGTCTTGGCGGTGACTTTATAATTTTATGAAATGATTGTTTAAGAGCAAGGAATATGAACATTTTAATTTCTAAACAAAAGAACTTGTACTCTTTCTCTATTTTGTAATGTAATCAAAACAGAAACCACAATCTAATATGACCTATCCCCTATAGGAAGCGAACGTTGACCACAAATATCATGACATGATGAGTTATTTTGTATTTTACTTCCTTTATACAGGGACGTTTAAACAGTGAAGAAAAAAAAATAATGATTTGAGAACGATCTAGCTGTGGAAAAAAAGTCGAAAGGAGCTCTTCCAAAAAATTATAACAATGAATAGAAATTGAAGTATATATATAAATATTCTGGAATTTTCATTGAACCCCCAAAGAGCTCCCTTGAATAAAATTAAAAACCAATTAAAAACATGCTCAAACTGACTCTAATAATTCTCTACCATCCAACGATGCAATTTATTGCTTTCAAATTCAATAAAAGGCATTCGAATGAGATAATCTAATTGAATATGGTAGAGTAAATAAGACAATAAAAATATCAAAGGTCATATTTTGTTAATGATGTGTAGATCACGTTCTACGGGGTAAAAAAAAAGAAGAAAAGGGCAGCGTATGGTCACGCGGTGATGTCATATGCTTGTTACTTCATATTTTTTTTGACTATAAATATATTGCTATATCATTATAACTTCAAGAAAAAGGTTTTTGGATAGATTTGAATACAAATGTATACAAGTTTATCCAGGCATTCTTTTCCCCTCATTTTTCCTTTTAGTAGTTATTAATTTTGTTATTAAACAGTAATCTTCCGTTTTTCTAATCTTATCTTTCTTAAAGATAAACTCCAGTTCTGGTAAAAAATTAAAAAAAAATTAATTCTCACAGAATCAAACGAAACTTACACTGAATGTTCAAGATTACAAATAAATGACATGTGCCAAACAATTTTGGAAGAAAATGTATACTGGCTGAGTAATGAGCATAGAAAGACAAGGAAATCAAGGTAGTACTAGCCCCAACACCATGTGTGTTGTCCCATATATAGCTTTCTGTGTACAGTGCTTGTTACTTTACCAAGACTCTATGTCAAATTTATTATGATTTTGATGACTCCAGAACCATGCAGTGCACACCAATACTTACATGCTACATAATCAACTGTTTCTGATCCTTTCCACACCTTTTCTTTCACAATGCAATCGCATTAGTATACTAAAGTTTATCTTTAATATCTGATTTCCTCAAATGCTATTCGCTCTTTTTTCTTTTGGCAGTTCTGCTATCAAAAGAAATTTTTTTTGGCGTTGGAGGTTCCCTCTTGGACTTTTTGGGGGTATACCTTTTTAATTTCCTATTTTATTTAACCGATTTAGTCTTTGAATTTATATTATTTTTCGACAATAATTTAGCTGACTTGTATTCATTAGGAGATTAAGAATCGCTCCTTAGTCCTGGAAAGTTTGTATAAATGTGTATGAAGCGGGGAAAAAACTTTTGGAGAAGCGTGTCTTATATAATTATTACCAAATATCTACGTTATACAACAATGTACAATAATTTGGGATACAAGGAAGTGCGGCAGTGTACCTGAATAGAAGTATATGTATCATGCAACCAACCGCTTGGTCAGTGCACTGGAACAAAAGGAAATAGTAATTTAATTTTTGAATCATTATTCTTCCGCGGCATTTAGAGAGTTTCTGCAAGAAAGATGGCGTACATGTATATTTACAAACAAATGGTTTGTGTAATCTAGCTATATTATCGCGGTGCTGGTTTGTCTCCATTTTCTCGTTTTCCTAATCATCGAGTCTGTTACATCACCCTTCCTGGTCGGGCAAAGGCTCACGGAGCGAATGGAGCCTAAAATGACATTTCACTACGAGCCTGGATTGGCTGAAGAATACCATAAAACCCGTGGGCGAATCAAAATCTAATTTCTGCCATCCTCACTTCATGAATATCCCCATACGTTACAGGCTGGTTATTATAGACGCGGCGTTCGCGTTTTATCTTATTTCTAAATCGCTCGACAACGTTGACTTGTTTTCCTTGAACACCCGCCCTATTTTATTCTAGTATACCGCCCTTCATTATTTTGGAACACTATTTTTTTCCAGTGTTACAAAATATGACAAAGAAAGAATTCTCTATTATGTTGGAAATAACGCTAGTCGAGAGTTTACGAGATGTTATCGATTAATCATTGTCGTAATTTATACAATTTGTTATTTACAACGGATCTATAGGACTAAGTATCAGAAGAAGATAGACTGTATGTTTTTTGTCTCTATTTTTACTGGTATCTATCAACCGTTATGTATGGGAACCACAATAAAGAAAGGAGTAATATAGTAATAATCATAATTAGTATGTATGTATGTGTTAGTGTATATGTGCGTGTGTGTGTGGTTGTAATATGTATGCGCATTTCCATATGATTTGTCACCCACAGGCGTAAAAGTATATGCTGAAAATATTAATGATGCATTTGCGCTGAAAGATTGTAATTACCTCAGCAATTGCCCACCAACATTCTCCTAATATTTTGGGTAAATACTGTATTGTATACTCCCGGTCCCAAATACACAAAGCAATTACATGATATCTTTGCATGGATGCGAGAGAGATCATCTGAATTGACAAGTCATAAGTGGTGTATGATATCGGCAGAAAGCATGATTACCTTGATTAATGGTAAACTTGAAGAAAACACGCAGACAAAATATAATGAACAAAACATTGTAAACTGATATTTCTGTACCTTTTACATCTTCTATTACACATTTTAAAGGTACTATGTCCCATTTGCAGGCCAAAAAATCAAAAGGTTAAATTCCAACGGCATTTGAAAGATAAAAGTAATGTAGAACTTCCCTTAAAAAAGGTGGCGCTTGAAAATGTCTTCAAGTGGGAAAATAACGACTATTAGTAGTCAAATCGACTTAGGAGCTATAGAGCCAATAAGTAATAGTCTTGATTTTCAGACCATTGTACCAAATTGTAATGCGTTTTATGCTGCGCAAAGATTCAATCAGTTTAATTTTGCCATCACAAAAAGTGGGTTATTGATGTAGACAAATGCTCATGTACCCTTTACATCTAATTTTATGTATGTTATTACCAAAGAAGAAAAAAGCCAGTCCGAGTCAGTCACTCAATAGTGTCTGACAGTGAAGTCTAGCAAGCAAACAGGTTTCTTTGCATAATTTGAATATTAGGACACTGCTACCGTTTAAATTTCACAGATAGGACATACATGACATATTCATAATTCCTGCAAAGTTCTACAGAATTTGAGGTTGGCTGCAAAACGGACGTAGTACCTTTAAAGGTACTATGTCCCATTTGCAGGCCAAAAAAATGAAAAAGTTAAATTCCAACTGCATTTGAAAGATAATACTAATTTAGAACTTCCCTAAAAAAGGTGGGGCTTGAAAATTTCTTTAAGTGGGAAAATAACGACTATTAGTTGTCAAATCGACTTTAGGGCTATAGAGCCCAAAAGTAATAGTCTAGATTTTCAGACAATTGTACCGAATGGTCATACGTTTTATGCTGCGCAAAGATTCAATCAGTTTAATCTTGGCCATCACAAAAAGTGGGTTATTGATGTAGACAAATGCTCATGTACCCTTTACAACTCGTTTCATGTATGTTATTACCAAAGAAGACAAAAAGCCAGTCAGTCACTCAATAGTGTCTGACAGTGAAGTCTAGCAAGTAAACGGGTTTCCTTGCATAATTTGAATATTAGGACACTGCTAACGTTTAAATTTCACAGACAGTACATACATGACATATTCATAATTCCTGCGAAGTTCTACAGAATTTGAGGTTGGCTGCAAAAGGGACATAGTACCTTTAACAGAGGGGCTCTTGAAATTTACTTTGAAGGGTTTATTTTTGCCGGAAATCAAATTTAATTTATGGTTATTATTATACATTTCCCTTTATGTTCTCCTTAAATTGGTAATTAACATTAACAGGTATTGTGATTAATTAAATGTGTCATTGTGTGATGATTTTCTCATCCCTTTTTCATCAGGATCGGGCTACCCTTACGGCGCCTCCTTCATGGTTCCCGGTAACGCAGCGGCCTACAAACCAAGTGGAAATATGCCTCCTCCGCAGTTACATCTCCGAGGTCCCTGGCCTCCGCAACACATTGAAGGTACGCATTTATGCATATAGCATTTTCCCCAACTGCAGTATTTGTGTATTTTCTCTCTCTCTCTCGAAGTATTCAGTGAAAGTCCTTCACCTTCATGTTTTAGTCCTATACCATGCCTTTTTGTTTAGCAATAGTGGAAGTTCATCATAATTTCTTTTCTTCTCATGGTACCATGTGTACATGTATTTGCTTATTTAGTCTTTTGTCTGCGTAAGTCACACAAAAAAATGATAATTTTCGTGTCTTCTTGGAAATCATATATTTTCATTTCATATCATAAAACTTCAGTTAGTATGGGTTCAATTTAAATGTGTCAATGATGATTTATGCCTATTTCTTTCATTCACCCTTGTAGATATGTGACTATGAAAAGGCACTGGTTTTGATCATGATCTTTTTAAATTCATTTCAGTTTTGTATAAAAAGAATATATAAGTATCTCCTAAACCTATTCTTGATTCTCTTTTACATTCAATTGTTCATCCTCACGCTCACTTCTCTCTACCCACTTTTCCTTTATTCCTTGCCTTTTCATTGCTTTTCTGTTCACGGAACAATAATTCTTTCACCCGATCATCTGCTCCGGTCCTTCTCTCTCCCTTTGGTCAACTTCTCTTTTACCCACTGTAATTTCCTTCCGAGAGCTGAAAGAGAGAGAAAAAAAATGGTGCATTCTTTTTGGTCTCCCCTTGTGTGTTGACAGGCTATGCGAGCCTGCCTGTCGGAGCCTCTTCGCTCTACCCACCGTACCTGTCGCTGAGTGGTTTGTCGCCTTCGGCTGCTCCTCTTGGTGGGGTTTCCTTTCTGCCACAGTCCTCCATGCACGGCTCAGGTACCACCACAACACTCACTGCCTTCGTTACTACCAAATTACATTTTCACCTTCACATAAAACACATCCACGCACCCACCCACACACATAACGCACGCGCACACACCGCACGCACAACGCACACGCGTGCGCTCAACGTATCCCAACACAAAGGGAGCTGAACGAAGTAGGGGAAGGGTTAGGGGAAAGAATGGACACCTAAAACTTGAATACGTCTTGACCCCCGAAGCTCTATGAGCTAGATTAAATTTATTCTTGAGTGTTGTTAATTGAACAGGAGTATCGCATTTATGTCGGCAAAATGTTACACGGTGGATTGGGTTCAAGTGTACATGACGTTTTCCTGTGGACTGTAATTAAAACTGTGAAGATCCATTCTTAATTACCTCAGCAACGCTTTTACACGGCTCGGTTCCATTCGCATGGGCCTGTAACATTAGCTGCCCCATCATTCAAGGCCTAATGATTATACCCGAATTCGCAGGTTCCTTTCTTGTCGGCACACTGAGCAATGAGGCAGGGGATTATGTAAATTCGATACAAGATCATTTTAGTCATGGGATATTGTATATCGCTAATTCCTCTCGGGAGCTTTATCACGAGACACATGGTCAAAATTTAAATGGGATTTTGTTTTCCTTGTTAAAGTTAAGGATATCCTATGGGACTATTGTGTAAGAAGGATGCATGCCAGTGTTTTTATTTAATCACTTTCGTAATGAGGGTCATGGATCTGAAAACAATATAAATAACGACCTTAGTTTAATAAGTAATGCGGATGATGAAATTCTAATTTACGTACGCAATTCAAATATAATTTAAAAACCGAGCAGTATTTTAAAAATCAAGAAAAACAAAGGCGTTTTTGTGAGAAGTCGTGTGCAGCTCTTGAAATTGGTGCCGTAGTTCCCTAGGGCTATCTCCTGAACGACAAGGTTAAGTTAAATACCAACTTATGTTTGCAGTATTTGAAGATATAACACAAACCAAAAGAAGATCTTTCTAATACGCTTAGGTTTTCTAAAATAGATCGCTCATTTGTTTGTGCTAACCGAGAAAATTCGATATGAACTGTAAAAAATTCTGATTGTCTCTGGAGAAAAGATATATAATCGAATTTTTGTTTCAATTATTTCGTACTTATGGATATTGATTCCAAATTTTATGAAGACTCGTATCACTACCAAGAGTTCAGGTTTCCCTCCTTTCGAGAACATCCCCTACAGAATCTGATAATTTACCTCGAAATCGCGTAAATAATGTTAAAGATGTTTTATTTAGCCCTTCAAATTGAGAATCTATTCTATTTTATTTATATTCAAGTTGAATTTGTATAATTATTATCCGTTATCTCTTTTCTTTTTGAAATGTGCAGACGGCCAACCTGTACCAGCCACAATCCATCCACCACAAACGGACAGCAAAAGCTTGATTTCCCATCACCATTTGTCCGCAATGAAGGAAAAGGATAGTCTGCTGGACAGTCCCAAGCACCATGCCGTCACCATGGGCAAGCAGCGGCATCCAACCCTGCTCCCGCCCAAAATGGAAAGTGATGTCAGCGCTGCGATGAGAGCAGGAAAACATGATAAATCGGTTTCCAGGGAAGGACATGGCAATGACTCGCAAACCCGGCAAAATCAGCATCAAACGAGCGGAAAGAGGCACGTCAAAGAAGAGACACATCCGCCCCCGCCGCACGTGGAGAGCGGTGCCTCAAAAAATCAAGCCAGCGCTGGATGGGAATGCAGCGAGAGCAGGATGCAGAAAAGGGCGGGGCAAGGCGGTGCAGAATGTTGGAAGGGGAATTCCCCACCGTCATCGTCATCACAGTGTAAGGAAAAACGCGAGTACGGTGGAGCTGGTGATGGACAAGAGAGGAAAAGGAAAAGCTCGAAGAAAAGAGTTGAACATGCAGATGAGAATGGGAATTCTTTAAAAACGAATGACGGTAAAGCGGTTCCTTCAGGAAAGACATTGTCGGAGAGGTTAGCAAGTCCACCAGGGGGTGGTAAAGGGTCTACCCCGGGAATGGGGGTAATCAACAGCATGGGGACCGTATTATCCGTTGGTGTGGAATCATATGCCCTCCCAGGGAACATCCATCATACTGCATCGCTATTGAAGACAGTATCACCACCGTTGACAGTTCCTGGTGGCTTTACAGAAGGATCTAGGCAACTGCAGAAAGCATCTCCTGGAGCCAGTCCTGCACTCAGTCCAGGAGATGCTTCGCAAAGTGCCATGAAGAAACACTCGCCGAAAGAAAGTTCAAAAAGGATTTCTGATGGTATAGGATCGAAACAAGGGAAAGACGATAAACGAGATGAAAAACTTTCGAAAGATACCCAATCAACTGGAGATAAACTCATGAGCCCGAATTCAGGTAAATACAAGAAATACATCTGAAAGGTATTTTGTTCTCCCTTTATACAATTTTCTGCTGCACTTTCTCCATTTTTTTCTCTTGTTTCCCTCAATTGTTATGTCTGTTCTCAATCATTTGTCTCAATTTATCCTTATATGATTTTGTTTAAAATGTTATCAATATGACAGGTTATGAGTGTGCTTGGATGCTTTCTGTCGCAAGTCCTTATTTCCCTTTTAGTTTTTTTATAACGTTTCCAAAGTTTACAGACGGGCTTGCAATCAGCTATGTATTACATTTAATTCAAGAATGAATACTTCCTTAGCCCGGAAAATCGTCATTGCATGTACCTCCACGAGGAAAAAATGGAAATAGAATGTGTAATTCAACATCAATCTTCTAATGTCTTATCAAGTGGAGAAATTTGACTTCTTATACATTAAATAAAAATTTTAGTGAGACGTCCCCACACGAATATCTTAGGCTCGGACTGTAGAGAGAAGACTACTCCAAAGTTACACTGTAATCTCGAAAAGAGCCAATTACATGTCCGTGACAACATTTTCCGAAACCCTGCAAAACCCTGCATGACTCTCCACGGACCCCAAAGCTTTTCGAGACAGTATATAGGTCGTTTAGGCTTAGAGGAATCACGCATGGACTTCCTGATAAAAGGTCCCAACTGTTTCAGTCAAAACATGTTGAACCTTCACGCATGCACCCATGACGCACAAACCAAAACACTTGCAGTATACGGGGCAATGGACACTACTTTAACCAAGGGTTGTTGAATGCTAGCCCTGTATTGCAAAGGCCAAACAGTCTCGTTTTTTAGTGATTCGGAAATTTTAAAGAATTGTACTACAATTTTCCATTTTTCTATTCTGACTTTAATTTCTAAAGTTTGTGGATTCATTTTTGGCGGATATTGAATGTTCCTTTGCGAGAGCTTATGTACTGTTCTTCAGAATACTAAGTAAAGAAAAATTGAGATTACTTGCATAGTTGCATTTTCTTTTGAAATTGTACGCAGAAGAAATGTGTAGCCAAATAAGTCTTAATGCCTATCAAGGCTATCATACTGCTACAATAACCAATCGATGACATATAACATAAATTGAATTGTCATAGTTTTACAATCAAAAAGGTTGTTTTACCTGCGAGGCTTTCGCCTAATCTTTGCTGCAGGTATCATCGACAGAGTAGGCGAAAGTCTCACAGGTAAAACAACCTTTTTTATTGTGAAAAGATGAATATTCAATTTATGGAATTACTAACTATCAGATGATCCCTTTCAAGGATGAAATATTACATAAATTAAGCATGAGTAGATGACTTTTTTTTGCAAAGATATTGAGTTTTAGAACGGTATTAGAGATACCTCTTCTCTGAGTATACCTGTCTGGAGATAAACCGTTGTGTTTAGTGCTTGGCCTAGTTAAAGTAGTAAATAACGCAAAATTAAGGAATATAAGAATTTATTTTTTTTTCCTGTGCCCCTTATGTGGGAAGACGTTTAAAGCGAAATAAATTCGAGTAGGCCTGTTTGATAAAGATTCCAGATTTGGTATGAATTGTATCCATAGTTTCGAACACCCTTAAAGTAAGGATGTGCTCAAGGTTTAAATTCAATTTATTATACTTTGTTTTAATGTAGACGTTGAAGAGAAATGTGTTTAATGCGATAAAATTCCCAAATGTTCATTTCAAAACAAATCTTGAAAAGGAATCCCTACGTTATTTTCTCTTTTAGGAAATAGTTGCAAGACGTAAGGGAAAAAGAGGGAAATGTAATGTTTAAGTTACGATGCGAAGGTTTTTTGAATTTCAGTGAAAGACAATAGACAAAGGAAATCTCTAATTCTCTACCATAATTCGATGTGTTCTATACAGGGTATCAAATTACATATTTAATATTAAACTTTCACAGAATTAGGGGAATTCGGAAGCATGTACAGTTAAAAACTAAATGTTTAATACCCCTTGGGAATTCGATGAGTTTTGTGTTTTGTTCTTCTTCATAACTCCAAAATGCAAGATGGGCTGGTTGAATTAGGGCCTTTGTTGAATACTTTTAGATGTAAGTTTTGATATGTCACATTATTAAGAAGCGTAAACCTGGACAAATCAATTATGAACATGCTTTAAGAAATTCAAAACTTGGTAAGGGTATGAATAGTTTAGCTGTTAACTGTATGTAACGTTATTTAGTAGAACTGTTGGCCTATACTGTTTCATGTGCAAGCTAACCTAAGTACATGTATACTGATTTTGATATTTCTTCCTCGGTTTTTAAGCAGGATGGTGTTCATCTATATGTTTTGTTATTAATCGTTATCAAGACACAGAGTGATCCTAATTACTTTCATTTTTAACACCACCTTGAATAAATCATAATACAATCTTGACAAAATCACGAGACAGAGATGAAGAACGATAAGGAGGGAAAGATTCCCGCATAGGCTTTAAGACCATCGTATGTTGGCGTCACTCAATAGGTTACGAAACTATTAATCATTAAGCAGCCGTCTTGCTTGCAGTACCTCTCTGTACGAAGGCTCGGACGGTTAACAAGCAGTAAACTTGATCAATCGGACAAACGTCATTCAAGAAGGTGAAGGTTGGCACATGCACGCATCTTTCAAATAATCTTCTTCCTCGAGATCTTAAGTCATGCCTGACATTTTGAAATTACCGAATAGACGAAGGCGAACCACCTTATTTTAAAAGTACTGTTAGGTGTTTCCAGGCGCGGATCCAGGATTTCTTAGGGGAGGGGGCCCAACTTTTCTTTTTTTTTGCTCCCGAAAATTTGAAAAACGCGCCGGCCAAAAATTCGCTCAGTTGGGGGGGGGGGGGGGGGGGGGGGGGGGGGGGTAGTGAGCACATTTTTTTTTTTTTGATCCTCAAAAAATTTCAATTTGCACCCCCCCCCCCCTTGAGCGCCAGGGGGGGGGGCCCAACCCCAAAAATCGTAAAAATCACGTGATTTTACATGATTTTTTTCTCAAGGGGGGGGGGGGCCCGGCCCCCCCCCCCTGGATCCGCCACTGGGTGTTTCTAATCATGTAAAGCGGAATGCTAATTTGTATCTTTTAAATGCTAAATCATATTAATCTACTCTTATCATTAAGCACGATTACTTATGTTTAGAGGTTATCGTTCTCGCCAGGAAGCACTGTATATATTTTTGGAACATTTCGTTGTTTTCCCGCTTCGACGCAGTTTCTATGTAGGGATTCGCCGTAATTTATGTCGAATATGAAATTAAATTGTGCAACGCGAGAGATAACCAAAGGCACATTAGGGGAAAATAAACAAGATTTAATCAGATTTCTTTCCAATCTCCTTAAAGTTACAATGAACATGCATTGTTGATGTGCTTCTTTGTGATGCGTGTAGAATATATTGTCATCCATTTCTCCCAACGGGATTTTTTTCTTCGCCTTTCGCTTCATTTGCACTAGATATGGACCCATCATCATTATCCAATTATCAATATCAAGCAACTATTGCGCAATTTGATTTCGCTTATAGGTGTACGTTGGAGTCCAGAATTTAAGTCATATAAATATTCTACATCTGTACGATATGTTTTCTATAAATCCATACCAGTAAATGGATTTACACTGTGCTGAAGCCGATTTTTGTGTTATGGTGTAGCAGAGATAAATATTGACTTACAACAGGCGAATTTTCTTTTTCATTTCTCTTGAATTGTTTTCAGGATCTGTAGCTCCTTATTAATAAGACTTTGAGGTTGAGGATATAAAATTTTGTTTGCCTATTTGAGGCGTCAGCAAAATGTTTGATACTGCTTTTAAAGTTATATATTTTCCATTTTAAATGTACATGATCGCAAAGTCTTTCGAGAAATCAACTCCAAGCCAACTTCTAAACCTTATTATATCCCCCTAGTATATATCCAATCATGTGAATCAAATAGGATAGCCTAATAATACATCACTGAAATGCTGGCATGATTCAATAGATGATCGATTTATTTTCTTCTCCGAAAATTCTAACGATCGTGGTATTCATGTTGGCCTATTTAGTACTTTAACGCTTTTTTTGTGTACAAAGCTACCATAGCCAATGCATGCATATCGGGGGGGGGGGGGGGGCTGGATAACGGATAAAATCTGATAGAATATAATATTTTCATCCTTTCTTTCTCTATAGTTCCGCATTGTTGATTTCATTTCATTTTGTTATTACATTGATTACCGTCCAACATATCCGGTGCTGAAGCCAATGGAAATCACGTTGTTTTCCTGTAATCTTTCGTATGATATGTTCATCTCAGTTTCATTATTAAAACTTGGCAATGTAGTTGAGAACTAGAGATATAGTGGTAACGTTGATGTAAAGGAAGGAATTGTCTTGGTATGGTGTTCATAACTCAAGCTTTCTCCCCTTCATGTGAATATTATTTTGCTTCGGGCGAACATGCATATTAATGGGTATATTGGATTAGCTTGGACAAAATCCTATAAACGTAGAAGCGATTTGGCGAATGATGATGGGAGAAAAACAATTTTATCAGAAGTAGAGCGAGAGGATGTAAGATGGAGGAATGAAAACAGAAACTTCAGATACTGACCCTTTAAAAATAAACCGGCGAATCCCTGGTGATTGGAGTGCAGAAAGTCTATAGCTAAAGCCTCTGTATGCGAAGATGCGGTGGCTCCATACGTGCAGCTGACAATCATCAGCCCGCTAGCCGCCGCTGCCTGTGTCTCCAGGATACGGGTGTTTCCTATTTCACGTCGATTTTCTTCTCGAGTCATTATCCACCATCTGGAATTCCCCGTGAAACACGGCTTCCCAAATTTGATGCAAATTCTCCAAACTCTTTGCTCTGAAATAACACCTGAGGGCGGTATTAGGTTTTCATTTATGCGCAAGATCTCTATCTCTCTCCCTATATGTCTGTCTCTCTGTCTCTCTCTCTCTCTCTCTCTTTCTCTCCCTCCTCCTGATTTTCTCTTTCTCTCGTCCCCTAGTCTCCCCTTCACTCCTTCTATTCCTCTCTTCTTTTATTCCTCTCTCACTTTCCTTCTATCCCCATCTCCTAACACTTCTTTCTTTTATCCATATCGGCCGCGAATGTGATTCTTTCAAGTGCTTTATAGCGCAATGCTGGAATCTTTTAAACACAAGTTATATCATATAGAAAAGCAAATTATTCAGTATAAATAAAAAAAAACGGCAACTAGAGCTGCGTGAAACGGAGGAGGGATACAAAAATATTAGAAAGGGGGATCGGTATGATAGTAAGGTAGAGAGGGGGTGTCAATATACGGAAGTAAAAGCGAGAATAGGGAGAAATAATATTTTTTGGAATGAGATTGTTAATGAATATGGTATTGTCTGCAATTATAATTATTTGATGCAAACAGTTTCGCGTAACGGAAAAGGAAGAGAGAAAATTGTAACGCGGAGCGGTGTAAAACATGGCAATTAAAAATAAACAAACAATAATCAAGAAAAGTCTAATCCAATTCAATAAATCTTATATGAATCCACCTTTCAACCTTGCGTGAGAAACAACATATCTTACTTTGAAAACACGTTTCTCCCATTCCTTCCTTAACGAATGTGCCAGCTCTCGGAAGCGTGATAAGTGTTCCAAAAACATTTTCGAACCAGTCTATAGAATCAATTCCATTAAAGATAGCGGACGTTTGAAACAATTAACTTTCGAACTTCTCTTAACAATAGATATGCCATCACCAATCAATTTTTTTCTTCCGCTTTCCCGTTTTAAATAAAAATTGTACTAAGTAATATCGTCAATTGCTGTGTTGTTTTCCCGCTTGAAACGGGGACAACGGGTAAACCCCTTTTTTGAGGGGGGTGGGGCGCACATTCCACAGTTTGGACTTTGGACTGTCTTTGACTATATCCATGTAACATATTGCAGTGACACCTTTACCAATCTAAACTACACTTTCAGCAATTTAACAAACGTTTGTCTTTGTACACGTCTACCTGGCACAAGACGTCGTGCTTTAATTTTCGTTATTTTTTCAGTTTTGTTCTCATATTTTATACGACAATACCGTTAATGAATAACCGTCAATACAATACAATCATTATTATGTTTGGTAAGGTAAAGCAACATAATGCACAGACTATGAAAAATGCAACGTTATCACCGACAAGAAATAAAAGCCCAACCACAATATTTTTTCTTCATCTATGACCACTGAATGAATACAACCGAGCATGTACCGAAGTCTTTATAATAATTAACGCCATGAGTAATTCCTCCTGTACACAAGATATGTTGCGTTGTTGATATAGAAGGGATCTTGTAATATAATCCGTACATCCAAGGCTTTAGTTTCTTCCTTCCTCTGCGTTAAAATTCATAATTGCTTCCGTGATGCTTGTATCCGTGTCACGATTGATACATACAGCATTGAGAGCTGATCAGTCGTTGACTGGATTCTGATCATGGTTTCCTTCACTCATAAAAAAGGAGGAAGGGCCGCCTTCTTTCCTTCTGCAACTTAACTCTTTTCTTCTTTTTTTCTTCTGCTTTGAAATGTTGGAAATAACATACTGCGTGATGATTGATGTACAGCAAGATTCATCTAGGTGTGTGTGCCTATGAGGATGTGCGTGTATGTGTGTGTGTGTGTGTGTGTGTGAGAGAGAGAGAGACAGAGAGAGACAGAGAGAGAGAGAGAGACAGAGAGAGGGGGTGAGAGGGAGGCCTCACGCCTTTGACTGAATACATTGCGTTCTCTCTCTCTCTTTTGTTTTTGTCTTTTTTTTGTGCCTGTGGCACGGACATGTAGGGTTAACGAGATTTGCCAGAATGAATTACGATTTTAATTGATCCCCTGAACACTAAGGGATGGAGTGATAACTACATGTGTACGGATGCAATCTTATAATTCACGAACCTTCTTGAGATATATATACATTTCATCTTCTGCACTTCTGTTTGATGAGAACAATTTATTAGCAGCTGGTATTACTATTTAACACAAATCAATTAAACACGGTTCATGATGATTTCATACAATAGACGCATGATATTCCCTAGACTGCTGAATATGATTGTGTCGTGAAAAGAGATCCGTTATCTGTGTAATAATACTAGTTCAGTTGAGTATTGATTGCTGTATGAATTTGTCAGCAGAGTGCCAATGTGAAACACGCCCTCATATGTCCGAAATTGCATTTCATATAAACACTTGATACATATATAGCTTATTGAGGAACAATCACTGAATATACATTTAGATTACTGTAGTGGATGCGATTGATGTGTTGGTGTATTTTTTTGGATATGACCGGACAGAACATGTTGTAGTTATCGAATTATTCACTTTTTACCACGGTTGTCACTGTATCTTTCGTAAGTTCAAGTTTCATTCATTCACATACTTAAATTACTACTGTATTACAATTTACTTTGATTTTTAATGACATTTCTCATTGTATTTTATGCAAACGTTTGCAGTTAGCGGTAACGTATTTCTTCTTTTTGGTCATGTAGGTGCTCAAGCCTCGCCCACTGTATCTCCATCCAACACCAACCCTCCTGTTCATCTGGGATATATGCCAATGTATTTGCCAAACACGTGTCAGCTGAGTCTAGATAAAGAAACGAACAAAGATGCGCCGAAAAGCGGAACAAAAGTGCATGCCACCACTTTCGTACCAGCTCCAGGGGAATTCATACCTGGTCCGGCGACCAACGCAACGGTGGGAATTTCATCGGGGAAAGACGCAAAGTGTAAAACGTCGCCGTCTCTGCCTGTAAGTTCAAACGGGAAATCCCCGACTTCTCATCCGGGCAAAGGGAAGAGCAGTGATGCTAACGGAAAGAAGGAATCTCCTAAGACTCCACTTGTAGCCAAGGGTGCAATGCAAGCCACGGGGGAGAAATGCGATGGAATTAGCCGATGGGACGATAAGAAGTCATGCAGTAAGTCACCTGGTGGTGATTATACGGACAGCGTGAAAGGATCTTCTGTAGGACCCGATTCAAGGGAAGATATGCATTCCAAACACGATGACAATGAGAGAAGAGAATTGTATAGCAAGAAGAGACACCTCAGTGGCAACTCGAGCGGGTTGAAATATGATTCACGAAGTGATTCGAGAAGTGATAGTAAACCCGACAGGACTAGTAGCAGTCATAGCAGTGGGAAACATAGCAGTCGTGCGCGGAGTATATCGGGACCAGACCCTGGTGTATCGGGTTTAACTTCACCTCGAGAATACAGCTCAAAGCATAATGATAGACACACGACGACGGACAAATCTCTTGAAGAACATCGTCGAAGTATGGACCTTGTGACGGGAAGGGTCGGCCACCCCGGTCTGTATTACGACATGGCCATGGTCACTGATAGGTCACGGACAGATACGACCCATCCACTGCCCACTTATCATGGCGAGTGCTTCACACCATCTTCTGCAGCTCATGAAGCAGCATTAGCAAGGCATGAAAGCATGCTACGGACAGCTCTCATGGGTAGCGCCCACCGGATGCCAGCCGGGACCGGTGGCGCTCCTCTGGCTTCTTCGCCAAGTTCGCAACCGTTCATCGTTTCCGGCCACGCCACGTCGGTTTCTAATTCGCATACGCCTTCGAGTAGTAAAAAGACCGTGGGATCCGCCAGCGAAGGGACTGGTATTCAAGGGCGTGGGACACCCGGGATCAAGGTTTCGGATGGAAGGTGTCCACCTATCGGAATCGCAGTGGCACAGCAGAGGCAGGATGGCGATAGCACCGGAACACAAGGAAGGCATCCGCCGCGGTCGAATTCTAGAAGTAAGTGTATGGATTGGCCTACGGTCATTTACTACTGTAACGAGCATCTACCTTTTTTTTTTTAAATAAAAGCACGATCGCAAAAATTGTCATGATATCAAACCACCTGTAATGATCATATTCGGACAAAATGTGAGGATACATTTATTGCAATGTCCTCACATTTCAACAGGAGAAGCATAAGGCTATTAAAATTGAATTATGTTGATTATTTTGCTTTTAGAGTCTTTTCGTTTGTGTTGGGGTAACGATGTTTTACGGTTCTCATGAAATTGCATATGGATATTTGTTAACACGTTTGTTTCACAAATTTGTCCGTTTCTGCTTTTGTTCCTGAAATAAAAATAATAATAATGATCATCTGATACCTTGTTCCGTGCCAGTTATGGCCTTTAAGATTTCTTAGTTAAATACCAAATACCCACAAACTCCATGCCAACAGGTGCCAGCTCCAGTCCTCACATTAGCCGTGTCCTGCCTTCATCCTCATCATTGGGTGACAAGCGAGAGGCTGATGATGAGCGGCTCGGAAGAAATCGGGACTCGGGGAGCGGAGGACATGGCAGACTGAGCGAAAGGGAACAAAGAACAACCAGAGATCAGTCACCAAGGTAACTATTGTCTCTGTCTGCGTCTATTGTGTATAAGGGTATGATTCAAAGCAGACACCAGACGTAAAGATGGTTTTCCAAATTAGCGATTTATATAGCACTTTTATATTTCATCCTTATGTTCAATCCTCGCCATATGTTCGTGGAAATCTACAGCATTAAAATCGAATAAGTTTAATCACTTAAGTACTATATCATTAATGAGATTATAAGATCGTAGTGACATGAGTAATGATTGAAAGATAAATATGGAAAAATACTTTTTGTCCATGATCAGAAGATATGATCGAGAGAATGAAAATTACATGTTCATTATCGGTTCGAGTATAAAGCTAGGGAATCGTCATTGCATCGTCCCTCGCCCTTCGTCTAACCTCTATTAATGTCGTAGGATGTACATAAGATTTCCTCCAGAGCGATTTAGAATATTTTATTGTGAATTAGTACTTTGCATTTCCTATCCATTTTGAATTGTATTTTTTGTTGTTGTCCGTTTCATCAGGGAATCCCGTGCGAACAGTGAAGTACCTTTCCATGTCGGAGCACATCGCAGATACCAGCATGACCTAAGCGCCAATCTCGTGGTTACAGGTATGTATGACGCTCTTGAAATGACTTAAGATCTACTTGAATGTGGTATTATATCCATATTGAACCATGATCAATTGTCAATGTAAAACCCGTTTCAAATATGATAAACTTGGAATAAATCACACACTTTTTTTCTCGGTAACTGACTGTTCTCTCATTTTTTTTTAGAATTCACTTTGGATTCGGAATGAGAAATATAATTATAAGTGATTTGTTGTTGGTGGTCTTCTAGATTTCAACAAGGTTAGGATTACAAAAACTGTTTTACCTTTCCTTGTCTAACTATCAGGTGGCGGAACCATCGGTCGGCCTGATACCACCATCCACCCTCATCTACCAGCCACACCCCATCACTGGTTACCCCGTCCTCCAAGCCACACAAGTGGCACACCCTCGCCCCTCTGGCCGTACGGGATACCTTCGTCGTCATCTCCGATGAACACGAGCACCCTGGAAGCGTCGCCGCGCGGGTCCCCGTTTCCGGTTGGACCGGGCGGCATGCACTGGGCACAGGATCCGACAACGGGTCAACTAATGTTGGTTCCTCCGCACCCAGTGCACCCAGACGGTTCTCTATCAAACCTTGGTACGTTGTTGTCGTTTGTCTCATCTTTATCCCCACTTAATAACAGCAATCTTTATTCGATTTTCTTTAAACTGATTCTTCATAACTAGTGATCATAATGCATTCATATTTTTATATTTTCTTTAGATTTTCGTGTAATTTAAAGATTGATCTTGTATGTATTTTTTTCTTCTGTTCTACAGTTTGGCCACGCTACTTAGTTCCTCCTCATCTTCAGCCCCACAGTCACCAACTCCAGCAGCTGATGTTAAACCAGTTCCCGTACGGTCCGATCCCGGGCCCCGCCCATCCCTCTCAACACCCTGGTCTTCTACAACACATACCCGGAGCAGGCAGTAGCGCGGAGGTACAGGCCTTGATTCAGCAACAGCACGAGGCCATTGCACACATGTACCGTCAGGCCGAGCAGCAAGAGCGAAACAGGAAGGAACAACCGAAGCCTCCAAGTAACGACCCTAGCAGTTTAAAACTCTCGTCCGAATCGCTGAAATGCGGGAGCGGGCACCATAGAAATCGACGGGAGTCGGGCGACGTGAAAGGAGAGGTACGGCCTGAGAGCCGACAGTCGGACAGATGTAGGACGGGATCGCAGGAACCTCTGGACATCAAACATTCCATCCAACATCTGCAACCACCGTTCTTGCAAGCCATTCCCGTCGCAGCGTCCCAACACCCTTCCCTTCCTTTCATGTACCCTCCGTCAGTACCCTATCTCTATGAGAACCCTCCGCCCGTGTCCGGTCCCCAAACGCCGTGTTCAAGGACAATTCAAGACACAAAGGACAAGAAAGAATTCTTACCAGACAGGTCGCACGCGATCCAAACGCACATCCCGCCTCTGCCATCGAACAAGGACAAGAAAGAGGGTGTTTTGAAAAGTACTAGTGTGCAGACATCTCCTGCCGAAACGCCGCCGGCACCAACGACGAAAGTTGAAGTCGATCGGGAGGAGGAACATTACTCCGACGTAAATAGCCCAAGTGCCAAATTCTCGCGTACGCAACAAACTGAGGTGAACCAACAGAAAATGTTAATAGAGCCGAATATTGATGTGGTCACTGTGGATTCACCGGAAGTGATTAGGACTTCATCTACACCATTGTCGTCTTTTGAAACCGCCATTGCTCAAACGAAAACGGAAGACGATGTTAAGCGCGGGGACGCGAGTTCGCATGAACATTTCAAGCAATCAAGTATTCAAAGTGACATCAAAACTTCTGATGTAATTAGCGTGAAAGAAGAAGAAATTAAAGACAGCAATGTGCAAACTGAAAAGGAGGATAGTGCCCTCCGAACTTCAAGTGAAGCGCAAAATGAGGAAGCGCCGGAATGTGAAGGAGTCCGCGAAACCGATAACCTTCCTACCGACACGGACGTTGCAACAACTTCTAGCAATTTGACGTCACCGTCAGCGGTATCCGACAGCAAGACTGTCGCATCGACTGTGTTCACCGAAAGCACGAGCATGTCCGCTCCGACGGCCAGTCGGGATTCGCTGATCACCAACGTCATGACAACGATACAGACATTTGCCTCGACCGTTGATGGTTTGGATCAGGACCAACTAGCGGCCATCGAGGGTATTGCTCTTCTTAGCGAAGTTGCAGAGCGTAAAGCATTGGCATCTAGAGCAGAATTCTGGGACTGCGTCGCTGGTAGGTTACATATCAACTTAATAAATACAAAAATTATGTATGTTTTGAAATAAAGAACGGAGGCTGGATTATTTCATAAATATCTTCACGAATGCTCCTAGATTTTTAATGACAAGTTACACGAATGTCTGCCGAGTTATCAAAAGTAAAATCAGCTTGTTTACAATCACATCTCGTCTAGGCATTTTGGAAAGACTCTCATGTGTTTGGGCCTCGAGCAACCGCTTACTATAATAGGAGAGGCTAATATAACTGAGTCCACAAGAGGGCGACATTTGAGTTTATACGACAGTCTACTCTCATTAATAACAACCGCGTGGTATTTTTTTGTTTTGGCAGTTTTTAAGAAATGTTAACATGGATGGATGGGGACAAAAATCATTTTAGATCATAAAATTGTAAATTCAGGCCTTTTATGTCATTTTTACTTGTCCAGTGTCCAGTTATTTTGCATTTTAAAGTTTGTAATTTAGGTAATTTGTAGAAAGAGTATGGACTTCAAAATAATAATAAATAACATATCTTGAGAACAAACATATGATCCAATTATATTCTTAGGTCACATGTGAAAGTCAATTATTTTTTGGTTGTGTAGAGTAAGGAACTTGCTTTTTACAATACATTGAAGAAAAAATGGATATAAAATCAAACCGAAAATATTATGTTTAGACATTTGTTAAAATAAATTATAAAATAAATAAGTGTCAAAAGAACGTCACAGTAAATACGAGCATGTTTTGATTATAACTGTAATTCCAATTGTTATTTTGAATGTAATTGTAAGTATATTCGATCCCTTCACCAAACAGAGCAACATCGGACAGAGAACTCCGATGAGATGGAGGATGCAGAATCGACCACGACGGAATCCAACGTTCCCCTTCAAGGTAACTCTGTGAGTGCCATGACCTCTAACGGAGGATGTGACCTGGATGATGATGCTCTGGCTGGTATATCACCTGGTGAACTGAGTCTCAAGATCAGGTGCCCCATCACCATCAAGAAAGAGGCTAATGGTATGAATAGCTCATTGTGTTTGTATGTGTTATCAAGATAGTCAATTCATTATATTTGGTGGGTCACCTTGACTGATGTAGCATCAGGACCTTTGAAAACATTTTTTGGGGGGTACTATTATTTTCAAAATTGTTTTTTTTTTTTTTTTTTGTCTTTTTTTTATTTCTTTTCTATTTCTTTTCTTTTTCTTTTTTTTTTTTTTTTTTTTTTTTTTTTTTTTTTTTTTTTTTTTTTAACTTGTGTATGGTAATTTATGACACTTTCTTTCAAATATCACTGATAAAACATGTTTATTGATCTTGATGTATCAGATTTACTTAATATTATATTGTTTGAGATATACAAAATTAAAATGATAATTATTTGATAATGATAAACAGCAACAGCATTTTCAAATCGTTTTTTAAATGTACTAATTCTCAAAATTTCTGGTTTTACAACATCTTCAACTTTAGTTTTTGTTCCCCTCAATACTGTTTCTTTCATATATGCAAGCAAAAATTTAATTACAAAATTTTGACAGCGTGATTATTTTTACCCTCTTTTCTTGTAGGACGAAGCGAGGTGTCGGCTTGTGGAACGCCTCTAGGATCAGCGGAGAACATGAATCCCATGGAACTAGAGATGAGGATGAAGTTAGCCGAACTTCAGAGGAAATACAAGGAGAAAAAGAAGGAACTGGACAAACTGCAAAAGAAGAAGGACAAAAGGTGAGTTTGCTATGATGTGTCCGTGGAATATTCATGTTTTGTATTTGGTTTTCTTTACAGCCTTGCAGAACTATACAGCATATAAAGTGTATGAATTTGAACACATTTTGATAATGGTCCATTCCTGTCTGCAAATTTGAAATTAAACCCTTGCCACAAATTCTAAATCTGAGGGTATTTTTTTATCACCTTTGCTGAAATTTTTTTTTTTTTTAAAACGTCAGTTGCCTCATTTGAACCACAAACTCCTCCCCATTAAAAATGTTCTGATGATGCTTCAGCAGCTATGATTCTAGCAGGCCTGACTCTGGTACCAGAAAAGGGTAAATGATCGAACACACTGTCACTTGTTTTTGTTTTACAGAGCAAGAGAAGACTCCAAGAATGAGGGCAGCCCTACAGTAGAGAAGCGACGAGGACGAGGGAGACCAAGGAAAAGGAAGTTCAGCAGCAAGTCTGGCTCAGAAGCACCAGAGGAAGCTCCAAAAGAAAGTCCAAAGGAAAAGTGAGTTGAGACATCAATATTCCTCCTAAAGATCTAATTGCATACTGGTCATAGGATTGCATATTGAAAGAAACTGTCTTGAAGCAATTGGGATGGGTTCATTATGTTGTATGTAAGAATTTATAACAACTGCCATGTTTTGGAATGATCATATTGAAAAGAAATTTCCTCATTGTGAAAATCACATGCTTTGCACATAGAATTGGGTACATGGGACTACACACAAATGTGGCATGAAAGTGGTAGGTTCAAACTTGCAGCAACCCTGTCTTGTCCTGTTTCAAACATGAGAGCATTCAAAGAGCCTTTCTGTTTTTCTCGGAATTATTCTGCTTTTTCATCCAAATTACGGTTTTTTTTCTCACAAAATTTGTTTTTAAAATAATTTTTATAATTTTTTTTTTTTTTTACCTACTGCACTTCAAACAACTGCCCTAAAATTTTATTTTGATCACAAAGTCAATAGAAAACTTAGATCAAAACATACTTGTAGAGAAAAATATTCTCGAAAAGAATGGAATGCAGATAATACCAAAATACCTACTTGTAAATCAACTATAGGTCCTAACATGGAAAAACCTGTATTAGGAATGGACATTTCTGCATTGGAAGTGTTTCGCGCGTGGTTGTAAGTTTTGTTCTAATGAATTCCTTTTTTTTTTGCCATCATGGTTCCTTTTTTGGGTCGCACAAAGTTGGCAGCTCTGGTTATATTCTTCCAAACTAATGTGATGTACAAAGAAGGAGAAAGATCACAAAATTATTGTTATCTTTACTAGAACTCAACCTTCTCTCTAAGACAGAGGCATATTAGATATACAGTTTAATTTATCTTGGTTTGTCCTTTTTATCAGCAGGGAAGTGAAGAGTCTGCATTCATCAGCAAAAGTGCTCTTGGAAGCTGCTGCTTCATTGGAAGAACCTGTGGTACCCAAGAAGAAGAAGAAGAAAGAACACAAGACCAAGAAGGAACAGAAGGAACCGAAAGAACCAAAAGAACCCAAGGAAAACAACAAAGAAGCGAAGGGACAACAACCTAAACAACCTAAGGAACAGAAAGAGCATAAGGAAAAGACCTCCAAGCTGGTATGTATCACTGATATCTCAGTCGGTTCTAGGACCCCTACCCCCTTGACAACCACCCCTGGGATAACCATCCTCTGGGAGAACTACCCTCTAGGACAACTACCCCCTAGGGCAACCACCCTCTAGGACGACTACCCACCGGAAGAACTACCCTCTAGGATGATTACCCCCCCCCCCCCCCCACCTAACTACCCCCTAGGACAACCATCCACTTGGACCAACTACCCCCCAGACAACTACCTCTAGACAACTAACCCCCTACAACAACCACCCTCTAGGACATCTAGTTGTGTGGGGGTAGTTGGCTTAGAGGGTGGTTGCCCTAGGAGGTAGTTTTCCTAGGGGTGTTATCCGGGGGGTGGTTGTCCAGGGGGTAGGTGTCTAGATAAGACCTCAGTCACACCAGTGAGACCGGCACCAGACTGTCAACAGGAATTACATGAGCACGAGTGGCAGGGAATTGGTTGGCTTGGGATGGTTCGTCTGGAGTCAGTTTGGCGCTGTGACTAAGACATAAATGAATGATCTCCATTGGTCTCTCCATTGACATGCTATTTGTCAACACCAAAGTTGCTTCATAATACCACATGTTACTAGAGTAAATACATGTATTTGTAGGAAAATATTTACAGTAGATTCTGAAGCAGAGCGAAAGGAGTTGAGTCAGTTATTTCATTTGGTATTACCACTTCTTGTCAAACAATGACTCTTTTTATTACGAAACCCCTTTTTTGCCATCCAGTCATGATTCTCATACTTCCACGTGAAAAGGGTAAGGTAAAAGTTTTCTTGCCCTCTGCTTATGTTGCTTATAATCCTCCCTCAATGTGTTCTTACCACAGAGCAAGAAGAGCAAGAAGTTGAAGAGCAAGGTAGATTCCAACGGGAACCCACTCTCAGTCTCTGTCTCTGTCTCTGGTGAAGCCAAACCTCACCTCAAGAAGAAGAAGGACAAGACTGGCACTAAATCTCTTTCTCTCAAGTCTGGCTCGGAAGGGCAACTAACTGCTTTGAAGGTCAAAGGTGAGTCATGAGGAAATGTACAAAAAGTTCTGTTCCGAAAGCCAGAAGGTCTCATTATGATGTCTTTAACTATTTGCTTCTTCCCTTCTGGCTGTCAACATAAGAAATATTGTTTCACCCATGTATGTTATGTTCCCAAACAACTGTACTTGCACCAAAGTATTCTCTTGTTCATGTAAACTCTCAAGTAAAAGTACTCCCACCGAAGTATACTCACACCAAGACATTCTTTGTTTAATATATTTACTAGTATCAAAATATGTTCCTCCTGGTAGTAATACTGATACCATTGTTATGCCTCCGCCACCGAAGGTGGTGCCGGAGGCATCATGTTTTCGGGTTGTCCGTCCGTCCGTCCGTCCGTACGTCCGTCCCGTTTGACCGTTATCACAATATCTCAAGAACCATTTAAGATTTAAACTTAAGACTCGGGAATAGTATTTATCACCATAGGAAGACGATCTGATTAGATTTTGGAGTACGTAGGTCAAAGGTCACAGGTCACAGAGGTCAACTTATGAAATTCCTTGTATTGAGTTTGTTAGCGCGATATCTCAAGAACCATTTGAGATTTAAACTTCAAACTTAAGGATAGTATGTATCACCATAGGAAGACGATCTGATTAGATTTTGGAGCACGTATGTCAAAGGTCAAGGGTCACAGAGGTCAACTTATGAAATTCCATACATTGAGATTGTTATCATGATATCTCAAGAACCACTGGAGATTTAAACTTCAAACTTAGTGATAGTGTGTATCACTATAGGAAAACAATCTGATTAGATTTTGGAGCACGTAGGTCAAAGGTCAAGGGTCACAGAGGTCAACTTATGAAATTCCATACATTGAGATTGTTATCATGATATCTCAAGAACCACTGGAGATGTAAAAACTTCAAACTTAATGATAGTGTGTATCACCATAGGAAGACAATCTGATTAGATTTTGGAGCACGTAGGTCAAAGGTCAAAGGCCACAGCGCACATTATGAATGCAAAAACAGCTTGTGATCGCGTTATCTCAAGAACCGATTGATGGATTCATGCCAAAATTAGGTCATGTTTGTTACTTGCAGAGCCAATGAACTGAGTAGATTCTTGGTTCATAAGGTCAAAGGTCATGGGCCCATTATGTATGCAAAAATAGCTTGTGAACGCATTCTCATTAGAACTGACAGATGGATTACTATTTAACTCAGAACATCTTGCAGAGCCAATGAACTGAGTAGATTTTATGGTCATGAGGTCAAAGATCAAAGGGTCATATATGTATATGAGAAATTGCTTGTAATCACAATATTCTGAGAACCTGTCAATGGATTACCATTGAACGTGAATTCAATTTTTTTTTTCTGTTTTGGTTTGTAAAATTGCTCTATAACGGAGGCATCATTTTCGACTGCGCGCAGTCGAATTCCATCTAGTTTAGTCCAAGTTTCAGCTTTTCCAAATATACACTGGTTGATCTAGACACTAATCTCATTCTTTGGGCTGGTTATAATCCCTATATTTGAAAGCCCGTCTGCACTAGTTTGGCCAGGGAGGATTAGACCTCTCTGCACGGTCACTGACATGTGGTTACCTCATCAAATCAGCTGTCAATTAACATAAGAAAAAGAGGTTCATGGGGGACCAACAGGCACCGATTAGGCATTGTTTGCTATATAGAGGGCACAAGTAGCTGTAGTGCAGTAGGGCTTTATGGCATTATTGTATTGGTACTTATCGTACGTATTATCACAGGCTCCAAGAGTGGTAAGAAGCGCACGGGATCACCCATCAGATCAGACATCTCCTCCAAGAAACAACATGTCTCCAAGTCTTCATCCAAGAAAAACCACATTTCTAATCTTGCCAGTCACGACCCTTTCACATCAGGTAATTAATTATTCAAATAAAACTCAGTGATTACCTGGTACCAATACGTATGATTTGCCTGAGTAGATTTGCCTGATAATGTTAAAAGTGGGTTCTTATATAGCACTCATGTCTGTCACACTTGAAGTTCCTGATGCTCCACTGTTTATTGTTTAGACTTCAGACCCAGTATCTAGTAATGATTGTAAACTATGCTGTTATCTACAACTACCGGTATAGCTGTAGTGCTCCATCTTTATTACCCCTGGTTATAGCAAAGCAGCTGAAGTATAAAGTACCCGGTAGTGCTCAATCTTTTTGGGCACCTATTTACACCCTGATGGAGAGTGGCAAATGTAGAATTAATGATTTGCTATTTTCTTTTCTTATATGAACTCTAACCTCATGGTTGAAAGTCAAGTGAATAAGCAACTGAAACCTCCACAATTTGGCTCCAGGTTTTATTCAACTAGAAGATGCAGGGTAATGTTTGTTTCATTCTTTTTGAACTCCCAGACACAGACTCCGGTAGCATCATCTGGCCCATTAAGACCACACCCATCAAGACCACGCCCTCTTCCCCATCTTCAGCTTCCACCAAACCTCCCAAATCACCCAAGATCAAGACCAAGGTGAAGAAGCTGAAGAACAAAGAGGGTAAGCTTGGCTTACAGTCTGGCAAGAAGAAGAAGAACAAATCCAAAGATGCGGTCACCAGGGCAACCTCTCCCGCTGTCAGCGTCAGCCCAAACGTGGCAGCAGCAGCACCTTCAAAGCTTACTTCAAAGCTTGAAAGGATCAGTGCAGAGAACAAACTGAAACCTGGATTGCTCATCTCGCATGTCTATGGTAAGTTAGAGAGTAAATACAAATAGATGTTGTCCACTACATTAAGTCTTATTACAACGTGATGTAAATCAGAAGAAGCAATTCTGGCCATTCTGAATCGATAGTTTACCCATCAAATATTTGATGATGGGTCCATAGAAAAGCAAACAGACAGCAGAGACATAATGTTCATTCACAAATTTTAAAAGCCTTTTTGGTGATATGAGTATTTCTGAAGGATCTTCTATTCTGCAATTTTCATTTATTAAAATCAATTTGTCATGGTACAATATGATTGGTTTCATGAGGAGACAGACCTTAAAATTTGAAATCCCATATCATGTTTAAATGCCAACTATGTATTGCTAATTCCTTGCAGCTTTGTAATAGCCATAAATAGGTGCAGAAAATAAACTGAAACCTGGTTTGCTCATCTCACATGTCTATGGTAAGGATGCGACCGTCATTGTTGGTCAAACAGTTTTTGAGCGTCAAGTAACACCTGGCTGGATTGCCCCCCAGGGAGTGTAGATTGTGCACACAGTGTGTGCGAGCAAGCACTGACTCCAATGACCGGGGTAATAGTATATCTGTAAAGCGCTTAGAGAGGTCCGAGATGTATTAAACGCTATATAAAAGCTCAATATTATTATTATTATTGACTAACCCTCTTTTTGCATCTTGCTCCACCACCAGGAGAAGACAGTGACTCCACCCTGGAGGACGGCAGCACGGCAACCACCACCACTGCATCCTCCCAACCCAGCGGGAGCAGCTGGAGCAACCACAAGGGCCTCGCCCTCCTGGCTGAGCTCTCCTCCAACCAATCCTCATCATGCTGTGCCACGCCCACCAAGGTCAAGAAGAAGAAGATCAAGGACAAGACCAAGTCACTGGCGTTGTCATCATCGATGCACCGGGATGGCACCGGGAGGGTCAAAGGAACGTCATCAGGGATGAAGGGGACGACGGGCAAGGTCGCTGGGAAGAAGATCAAGGTCATGAAGAAGAAACTGATGTCCGCGAATGGTGAGAGAAGTGAGTGCTTTTTTTGTTTCTAGGCTTGATTCACCCATCAACAGTTTGTTTTTTGTTTCATTATTTTATCATATATCTTCTGTAATTCTGATGGCATATGGCTGGATCTCAATAAAAAATGTATTTTGTCAACAAGTTAATAGAAATAGTGAGATAAATTTTGAAATGATATTTTTTGTATGCAGAAAGCATTCTTTCTTTGCAGACGGTATGATGAAGTATTTGGATGTTTTACACAGTCAGGTACTGTAACATACACTACATTTATATTAGATTGGAAGAAAACAGCAAAAAAGAAAAGCATTGGAAGTGTACAAGAGGTGTAAAGCTTTGAGGGCCATTAATATAAGATCTAGGAAAAGGTAGTCATTGCGACATCCTAATGCAGACATTGGAAAGTATACTATACAAGGATTTGGGAAAGTTTTGTAAGATATGTTAAAATGATATATGATGTGTCAACCTCCCAAATGAGTGACTTATCTCTTTCTATTCTACCGTGTATCTTTTCAGGGACATTTGTGAAGAAATTGAAGAAAGTGAGTAAAGCAGACAGAGTACCCAAGTCATCAAGTATGTCTTCCAAGGGTGAGAAGCCCAAGAAAGCCAAGCAGTTTACCAACATTAAGACCAACATGAAGAAGGAGAACAAGACTGGTCATCGCAAATCTCCCAATCATGGACATCCGTCATCTTCGGCATATGCCCCTCAGTTTGATGAGAGGAGCTGGTGTAGACGCAGGAGTGAGAGGATCTTCCTGAGCGACATCAGTCCAGTTCAGTCTCGGGATATCAGCCCCCAGAGGAAAGCAGAGTTGGTGGAGCCTGCCAAGAGGAAGATCCTGCAATCCCCAGGGATGATGAAGGCGGTGGAATCTTCAGGTTTGGGGCAGACCACAGGAGGGTCCACCAACCAGGGTGGGATTATCAGCCAGATTGGTAGTGTCCTGGATGCCCTCAAGACCGATCCTCTGCAGATGAGGAAGAAACTAACGAGGCTCAGTGCCCAGGAGGATGAAGAGGACAACGATGGACAACTCCAAGACGAAACGAGGAGGAAAAAGCTGAAGAAGAAAGCCAAGAAGAAGGACACGACGCCAACTCAAGAGAAGTTAAATCCATTAGAGTTGGCTCTGAAGGCCCTTGAGCAGGAGACCACAGACAGTAGTGACAGTGATGGGGAGAATGTTCCTCTGAGCTCGTTGGTGGAGAGACCATCCACACCAGCGCCACGCAATTGTGTGCTATCCGTAGAAGAACTCCAAGATGGTCTCCGGGTTCTGATACCCATCGATGGTCTTTTCCATGCAGGGAACGTACGAGCCATCCAGCCGCCTGATGTATATGGTGTTGTGATTGAAGGTGGGCGGGGCAGTAGACCCCATGTCTTCTCTCAAGAGCAGATCCTGGAGGAGGCCATCGCGGATGTCAGGCCATCTTCCACCAGGTACCTCCCGGAGGGAACCCGCATCTGTGCCTACTGGAGCCAGCAGTACAAGTACCTCTACCCAGGCACGGTGGTCAAGGGCTCTCCGAACCCCACCCTGGACGCCAACTTCACCACGGTCGAGTTTGATGACGGGGACTCTGGACGGATTCCTCTGGATCACATCCGAATGCTTCCACAGGATTTTCCTCTGGTGGACTTTGAGCCATCGCCCATCATGGTGCAACGGAAACGTCGAAGGAGACCTTCCGAGACAAGCTCTACCACGGAATGGAAGATGGAACTGGTGAAGGCTGACGATATGGACGATAGAATGGATGGTAAGAGGAGAGGTATGTCCCACAGACTTAATCATTTCCTTAAAGCCAGAAGGGTGTGTTATGAGTTTAATACTCTTTAGGGCTCTTGAGAGACAAATGTATTTTATTATTCATATTAGTCATGATTCTCTTTATCATTATTGTTTTGAATTTTTATTTCCCAAAATTGAATTTTAGATCTTTTATTAGATGAAGAAGTTGTAGATATCCTACCATGTACATGTTTTGTTTGGTTAAAATTGGATAGAAGTACATGAAGAAGTATATGTATGCTTTATAGACGGAAGACATTGAAATATTATGTAGGGTTTTTGTTGTAGAAATGATGGGCATCCATTATTCTTGTACTTCTAGGATGATGATTTTCTTCTCCTTTTTTGTTAGAATATTCCTGGAGGTCCCAAAGCAGTAAGGATGACCATGTCCATCCCATCTCAGAGGGAGATAATGATGTCTTCCTCCCGTCCGTACCCAAGCTCAAGAAAACCGGCGATCAGAAATCCAGGAAGCTACTCACCAAGAAAACTAAATCCAAGCTCAAACTCAAAACCAAAGCCAAGGGTCTATCCAGCTCAAAGGGTCTATCCAGCTCGAAGGGTCTATCCAGCTCGAAGGGCTCTTCTCTGTCATCCAAAATGCAACAATCCAGTGGCTCATCGCTCAAGCACAAGATGGGCAAACTCACCAAGCTGAAGAAGTTGAAGAAGCTGAAAGGGATGGCTTCATCATCATCATCATCGTCGTCGAAGTTCAGCCAGAAGATGCTGCAGAAGGGTCAGGGGAAGTCCTTCGCCGTCAAAGCCAAGAAAACCAAGCTCACCTCATCAGGGCTGTCGACCGACAGGAAGGTGGTTGGCGGCAAGAAGAAAGGGCCCAAGAAGAAGCTGGGAGGCAAAGCCAAGTGCACAGTAGAGATCGAGACAGTGTATTCGTCAGAGATTTACCCTGATGAAGCAGACTATCCAAAAGGTCTTGGTGGAACCCTCAGAAGATTTGACTCGGATGACTCCAGTGACGATGAGAGTGATCACTATACAAAGGTTTGTCTCAAGGTTCCATTCTGAAATCTTAGCAAAAGAAGTCGTGTCATTTGAATTTGAATATTGTTATGAAAAACTTGTAGAAATTATTCTTGATCAAAGAATTATCTTGGATTTTGTATCGTACTTCATCATATATCCAAGATTTCTAAACACTATCAGTTTTCAAATTATGTGTGGTTGTACATGTTTTCTACAATACTCCAATACCTCTCCTATGAAATGTTATAGATATAGTATCAAAAGATGCACCAGACTCTGGACTCTGAAGTCATGAATAGTACTTTTGTAGGTACCTCAGACATCCTCTTGGATGGATACACGCACAAGCTTGCATTACAGAAATAAGTTATGCTTGAACATATCGCAGTGAATTCCAGGGAACAGATTCTGCCCTCTGACCCTTCCGGGGTTGAATGATCTTGCCCATGTAAATAACTATCAAGAATATGCATGGGAGTGTCATGGCCGAGTGGTTTAAGGCGCTTGACTGGAGATGCGAAGGTCATTGTTGGTCAAAAATTATTATTACGTTTTTTTCTTTTTTAGAATGCTGATACCTTGATAAAGAAGAAGAAGATGAAGAAGAAGAAAAAGAGTTCTCAGTCATCAAGTAATGCGCAAGGTATGTGTTGAAGTAAAATATTTGTGAAAAAATGTCAAAATTGAAGAGAATTAAAGTTTTAATGGTCTACCATGGTGTCAATTGCACCAAATAATAGTTTACATCTACAGTTTTTATAGTCTGTTCATTTCATAAATTCTGGGATTTGTATGTCAGCTGAATATTTTATCCGTTATGGTGAATGGATTAGAAAAAGTAAGAAGAAACAAATATTGGAGCATGTCACTTTGAAAAAAAAATCTTCATGGATTGACTTTAACAAAGATAAGAATTTCAGTGAGGGAAAACATTTTAGATTTGAATAAGTTTTTTTTTCTCAACTACCCGGTATTCAATATAAGGTATTAGAACTTAATCATTGTTATGTTTTTACTCTATACTTGATAAAAATATTGATAATATTGATTGATTAAAGATAATCTTTGTTTTGTTTTGTTTTTCTTCAGCTTCCTTCTCTCCGCCTCGGCAGTTCTGGCGTTGGTTAGGCAAAGCAACCCAAAGGAGAGGAAGCAAGGGCAAGGCTCGTAAACTCTTCTACAAGTCTATCATCAGAGATAAGGAAATCATTAGAGTAAGTAGCTCACTCCATGCTAAACTAGGGGGGGGGTGTTTCACAAAGAATAAGAACAACTTAAGTTGGACTTGAACTATGGCAGGCCGTTCATACCACTAGTTCCTCTAACCATTTCTGACATTGGTTTCTCAAGGGACGTACAAATCGTGGTCACAAATTTACAGAATTGACCTTTATTTTATAGTGAAGGGGAAAATATCTAAAGATTATAATTGAGAGACCAACAGAGAGAGCGACCAGTAGCATGAATGGCCTGCCAACATAAGTTGATCATCGTCTTTGTGAAACATCCCAGTTGTATCATTTTCTCAAAATTGCTTGATATAAGTACACCATACACCAACAACTACCGGAGTGTTGGCTCAGTCAGTAGAGCGTCCGCCTCACAACCGGGAGGTCGTGGGTTCGAACCCCGGCCGCGCCATACCAAAAGATGTTAAAAGATGGGAGTTGTTGCTACCTTGTTTGGCGTTCAACAATAAGGGATAGAGCAACGTTGATCTGGCGCTGCTCAGTGGCTGCCGGGCTCATGATCAATTGGGCAAAAAGAATTTCCATTTCGGTTTAATAAAATTTGGAGTGGACTATTAGGCTATTATTATTATTATTATTATATGATATGGGACCTTTTTTTTTTTCATTACACATATTTGTATTCCTTTGTCCAATCAGATCATTCCCTCTTGTTCTTCTCCTTCTCTGTCTTCTTTATCTTCATCTTCTTCTTTTTCTTTTTCTTCCTCTTCTTCAAATTCTTATCCTGTCTGCTTTTATACTTTGCTTGCATTTTTTTGTAACTCCCTTTCTTGTCTTTATAAAGATTATCAATTATGGATTAATAAAGTAAACATCATAATTCGTGAGGACTGCAATTTTTCTTTTTGCTTGTTGATACCTTGTCAATATGTGCATTTTTATTTTATTTGCATGATTATTTGCTAAACAATTTTAATTGTAGAAGAAAATATTGGTGCTTACAGTTGAAAGAAAAAAAGTGGGTTCATAAACAATTTGTAAAAGTCTGTCTTTTAGTAATAAAATATCTAAATGACAATGTCTCCCCTATGCAGGTTGGCGAGTGTGCCATTTTCCTATCGACAGGGCGCCCTCACTTGCCTTACATTGGCCGCATCGAGAGTATGTGGGAGTCTTGGGGAGGCATGATGGTGGTCCGAGTCAAGTGGTTTTATCATCCAGAGGAGACCAAAGGGGGGCGGAAACCCAATGATGGAAAGGTATGTATGCTGGACAGCACACGCCCCAGAGGTCGGCCATTTTGTCTGTGATGGTTAGAAAGCAAATGTGCCCTGGGGATAAGTGCAGTTCTTATGTCATTTTGTGAAGTTTAGCCGTTTCTAACACTGAAAAGGACTTCACTTTGACTGAGCATGCAGAAAGAGACATGTAAAGTTATATATATATTCTAAATGTATCATCCAGTCAGAAGTAGTTTGGTAGTTATACCCACGTTATTGGATAATATATGTAAAATAAAATATTATATGTCAACCTAATTTTAGAGCCCAACTACATGTAGTTATGTTGATTAATGCTGTATCAGGTTTTCAGGTTTACCCCAAAAATTCAAGTTTACCTGAAGATGTTTTCAAACTAAAAGTATAAAGTCATATATTGTGACTGAATATTTCTGTTCTATTCAAGTGAATTCTATTAGATTATTAGATAAAGGTTTTTATCTCATTTAGTGAAGTCATCAGCGTAGTAGTCGAGTCCAGCTTTGAGGCCATATTTTATTGGCCTTAGATGGAGCCAAGTATACAAAACTTACAGAAAACAATGTTTTTTAGCGTTCTTAAGACTCAGAACTGCTGGCCACTGCTACATCAATGGTAAACATCAATCCAATATTCAACATAATTCTTACTCTTTTTATTTCTCTTCAACAGATGGCGCTCTACCTGTCTCAGCACGTTGACGAGAACGATGTCCAGACCATCTCCCACAAGTGCGAGGTGCTGTCGCTAGACGAGTACAAGCAATATGTCTCCGCTAAGAAGTCCCTCAACACAATGGTCAAGGCAAGTGATATCTACTACCTAGCCGGGACGTACGACCCGGGCAGTGGTCACACCGTGTCTGCCAATTAACCTTTGACCATCCATACATCCAGGAAGACATCCCTCAATGCAGTGGTTAGGGCCAGGGGCATCTAATTCCTAGCCAGTATCTGCGACCCAGGCAGTGGCCACACCGTACTTATCTGCTAATCTAATTTGACCATTTGTACAATATATGTTCGGCATGACAACCCGCAGTGCAGCGGTCAGACTTCAAACAACTAGAGTTATACCTGTGTACCAGGGAGCGGTCACACCATATTTCATATCTGTCTACCATGCTAATTTGACCATTCATATTACATGCATTCAGCGAGACATCCCTCAGTACAGCGGTCAGAAACCTAATACCTAACTTGTACATGTGTACCAGGGAGTGGTCACACCGTATCTGCTTTATTACGGAGTGACCATTTGGTATGTCCGGAAGAGAGACCCATCAGTACAACATCTATTACCTACGACGGTGTAGTTGATATCTGAAAGTGAGACCTAGGCAGTGGTCCCACTCTCACTTCAAACAAAGATGAACATTCAACAATGTCGCTGATCATGTTATTGAAATGTTATGCTATTGAAGCTATGCTTATGTATGCTAATGAAGACACTTTTGCAGAAAAATCATAATTTACATGGAGAGAATCAACTTATCATTTTCTAAAGAGTTGTTGGCATTGTGACAAAGAGGCCAGTAGATCTTGACAGAGTCGGCTAATCGCGCTGGAACTCGCAGATTGAAGTGCCAGTCTGCCCATGTCTTTATTGTGACACTGGATTTGACCAAACCAAATTTGACAGTATTTGCTCCAAGAAAGTACTAGTATTTGTTCAATTTATATTTAGATGATCATGACGTCATGTAGGAATTGTATGATTAATTGTTAACAGCATGGAGTTTCATATTTTGATGGCATTGACAGATTAATGTTTCTCAGTATTGTGAATTCTGTTTATAAATTGATAAGCATGATGCTTTGGATATAACAACGTCTCAAACTAAGAGTTTCAAGCTCACGATCGCTGAAAAAATTACACAAAGTATGAATTCAAATAATGTTATTATATATTTGTTGATTTGTATTGCAATTATGTGACATACGATGATCTTGAATAATTGTCAAATTCCAAAGCACATATCTCCTCCACCCTATGATGATGATATATGTGCAATGGAGCAATTATAATTTTATTATATTATATTACAGTACTGTGAGTCTATCACTTTGTTTTAGAGAGAAAAGGTATGAAATTTTGCCATACTGGAAATTGAAATGAAGACTCTTTTACTGGAGATAGTGAGATATTTTGCAAAGAGTTTTTATGAAGCTAACCATTTTTTCTTTGGCTGAGTTAGCAGGTTCACAAGATATGGCATTGTATATGTATATATTTAAGTTTTTGGAAGAGGATTTTGGATGTTATCCATTTTCACTGAGCCAAAGAAATAGGAAAGATGCATGTACAAATGTATCATTTTTGCCACTTGTACATGTTACATGTATTACGGACATGAAGAGAATTTCGTAGAAAAAGTGCAATATTAGCACAGTTATAAGTATTTGACCTATTTTATACTATTATAACTCTAGTTATATAGGAAAGGGTTATGAAAGTGTTTATTCATGGTCATATCGTTTCTGCCTTATATCATCGTATTAGCATTTTGGTATTCCAATGGTATGGACATAATTTCTGATTTTCATTTGATCCATTCACTCATTTTTATTTATTTATTAATTTTTGTAACCATTACGATTATTGGAATTTTATTCATAAATGAAAATCCAACAATACTATTTGATATGAAACAGCATTAAAAAGCTTAAACCTGTCCTGCCGAATTGAATAAATTTTAAAATAGCTGAATTTGTTCTTGATGCTTTCAAATTTGGTCATTGGATAGGAATTTTATCACAGTTTGTGAAGATTACAATTACAATTATGAATGATTATGAATAATGATTACATACATTGCTCAAAATGATAAATTACATGTATGTCTTAATATGTAAAACTCGAGAGGAAGTTACATTGATATAGACAGACAATTGCTATTGTGAATTTCTATTAATGTTCTTTTGGGGGCTGAAAAATAAGACGTAAGTAAGTACACTAGAAATGAAACGTCACATTTTCTTTTTAAAATGTTATTGAAAAGCAGCAACATCATGTGGATTTGTTTCAGTTTGGATGTTATTTTGATGTACTGTACTTCCATCCTATTTATCTTTACATGTATTATCTAAGGATGTTAATTTTTTTTAGTGAACTTTATATGTTTTAACATTGTTTTGAAAATGTTGAACCATTTTAAGAGACTTTTTTTTTTTACGGCTGTCATTTGTGTTCTAGGTATTTCATTTCATCCACAGTTTTTTTTTCTTCTGGGGTTTTGAATTTTTCTTACTCTTTAAAGAACCACTGTTTAGATCTTATACTATCGTTTGTGTTTTTAATGTTAATTGAATCAAACAAAGCAAAATCATTTAATTTGTGAAATTTTATGATGTGAATCTTTTACTTTGTTGTGTTATTGTTGTTTACTGTGTCTATAAGATCAGGTGTAAATAGTGATATATATATTTTACATGCCATGGGGAAGACCCGAGATACTATAAATAGCAAAGGCTTGATGGTGTTTTTTGTGTGTACAGTGTTGATGGAGATGTACTGAAAATGCGATATATTTGTTGAGAATTGTTAAACAACTACTGTACCATGTGGAGAGATGATTTAAGCAAAAAATAAACTATTTCAAATTGAAATATTGTGTATTTTAGATTTTTTAATTGCGTTTTGTTTATTTATGTTATTTATATGAGATAAGACACAAATCTTATAAAAGGGACCCATAATAATCTATGTCTAAAAAAACTTGTCCCCATAAAACTATGAGAAATGTCAATTTGTTTTTTGATGAAAGAGCATAAAGGATAATTGTGATTTTATTACGAGGCTCACACATAAAGCCCGTAATTTCCTAAAATCTAGCCAGGCTGAAACTTTTTTCTTCTTTTTTATCGAGTTTTAACAAAGGAGGTTAGTCTGATATCTTAAATTTTTTCTTACACGTGAATTGAGACCCACGGTGGAGTTAAAATGAATCGTTAAAAAATGGACCAAAGACTCCTGTAGGCACCTGACTAAGCGGACTCTACCTTTACTTCAAGTAGAATTTTGATTGCAGTTTTCATTTGTTAACTTGCCACATCTAAATACAGTATACCAGTATAGAATTGCATAAATATAAAGCAGACAATTTTGGCGAATGGGCCCCTTCCAAGTTATGGCAGAAGTAGTCATTTTCTAGATTGAGAAGTAAGATTCTGGAAGAAATCAAAGTGAAGCATTATGATGTGAAGAAGAAGGAATAGGAAAATGATTACTAAAAAACTCGTATTTTTCAATTGAGAATTTGGATTGTATTAAAGGAAGATCTTTCTCTCTCTCTCTCTCTCTCTCTCTCTCTCTCTCTCTCTTTTCCCTTCTCTCTCTCTCTCTCTCCCCCCACCTTTCTCTCCCGTTTCTATTTGTTTCCATTTCTTTTTGTCATAACTGCTCAGAAAAATCAGAGATACAGTTAAAGAATATGTCATCTTTTATTCATAAACTAAGGTTTCGAATTAACCGTCAGGTTGATGATACTTTCTCGTCTAGGATTTACAAAGAGTTTTCTTGCAGTGAGGACAAAAAAAAATCAATCGTCAATTCATTCCCAAGATTTTAGAATCTTCTGGGTTACCAAAAGTCAAATTCAATATACTTGATGTTAAGATCTTATTCGCGCTCCCTACCTAATACACAACAATATTCAAGAGACCAACCTAAAGAGTTTAGATCGCCTAGACCCTAATAGACCAGGGGCTCCTAATCATTTTGTCAGGCGGGCCAGATATATTTCTTGAATTTCTACGTGGCTGAGTTTTGTACATGCATAAACAGGTATACCGGTGGGGCAGATTTCTCTTGCCCGGATATAAACTGTCCGATTGTGACAAAATGTAATTCTGTCAATAAGATTTTCATGTTTGGTCATCAATCCTGGCTAAACGCAACCCATAATGGTAAAAAAAAATGAGTTAAAGAAAAAGTTCATGTAATTTCGAACCCAAGTTGGTCAAAAAAGGCGGATCAATGTCATAAAAAAAATTGAAGAACACAATTTTGAGATCCCCCCCCCCCCCAAAAAAAAAAAGAAATCTGGCCGATTATCATGTTTTTTAATCGATCCGGAATCGAATATTTTGAAAAAATCAATCATCGACAAACACTGGAAGGGTTATAAATCAGCATTTTAGGCCGAACATATTATTTCATTACTCTTTGGTGAACTTAATCCCAGCTGGTCGAGGACAAATTTCATGGAAATTTGAAAAGAAAGATCACCTTTCGACAAAAACTTTAACAGGATAGTTCTTTATATTTGGTCGAAAATCCCACATTTTCTGTCGGGCCAATTTTTATTATTATTTTTATCATCCATCTGGGGTGAACAGGATATTTTTGATTATTTTCTCTAAAATCAAATACATATTGTACAAATCAAAGCTTGAAACATTGTACATTGATTATTTTGATTAAACATAAATTGCAATGATAAAAAGAAAACATAAGAACATTTTTATAAACTGTTAAGAAAACGTTTTCATATATATAATTATGATCAAGAATATTAAAGTGACTTGGTAACATTGTTGAAGGTTGATTAAAAAATTGCGTAATTTTGATATGAAATGTTACTTATTATTTTCCTTCTCCTGTACTAACCCTCTAACATGCAACAAATCCTGAACAAATTCTCAAACCATAAAGATATTAATGGTTTTCTAGGAAGGCGTCACTGTGCAACATCCTCTAACAGTGATTAACAGTAAATTCTCCAAACATTTTTTCAATTTTCCCAACCGTTTTTCCATGAAAATAAGACAAAAGACAGACTTTTTATTGCTTTGTGACGATTCACATAAAATGTAATTAAATTGTAATAATATAGTTTTTATCATTTATAATGGTCTGTTTTCACTCAAACTTTCAGATTATCTGTAATTGTACATCTAGCATTAAAGTCACTACCTTAGCACCATCTTCTCTCATCTTTTCACTGTTACCAAGTCCCTTTAAAGTATACTTGAGAGAAAATATTATACGGTAATACGATCACATAGTTTCCAAAATAAATATGATGATTATCTCCTACTGTGAATAATCTTTTAGTCCACAATTAAATTGAGTCTACATCATTTATATATTTACAACAGCTACCAAAAAAATGAGATTCACAATTATGAATTATGTAGAGTTATCATCGACAACAAAATCTTGAAAGATAAACACATCAGTAGTATATTAAAAGAAAGTTACTTTTTTGTAATCTATAAAGGTTCAATCATTCAACTTGATTAACATGATCTAGAAATGCCATTTCTGAAACGGTCACCAGAACTCTAGTTCACCTAGTTTCAGATATAAGTGATTCCACGGGATGTTATATACAATTTATGATGTCACAGAAAAACCAGGCCTGTTGGAGGTTTTTGAAATAGGGGATGGGTCCATTTTTCAACAAAATGTGATGTTATTCTCATTTGTTTAGCCTGCCTGTTTTTAACCAGATAAAAGAGGACTAGTCGCACATTTCGCACCCCTCCCTCATTGTCCTCCTACGTGCCTGAAGATAGTGTTATCATACAGTGCGATTAAGAAGGAGCAGGGAGGTCATCCAATTTTTCAGTGGAATATATAGAGTCTATCAGCAGTACAGAAAGCGATCTCTCCTGATCGGTATTGCTGGAGAGAGTACCAATTTCTCTCAGGCTTCTCAATCTTGTAATCATTGACGAGGTTCTGGACATGCTTCAGCTCGTTAGTGTACTCATCAATGCTGACCAAACCTGCATTGTGATTCAACGTGGATATCAGGATTGTATTCCCTTGAGAAACAGCCGCGTGTAGATAATGACCTAATCTCTTTAATTTATATTTTACAACTCCTTGTTTGTCAATCAATCGTATTGTATAACCAGCATGGGTGATCAGGTGATCATTATAACTACTAATCTCCTGAGGTTCATATCCATCACATGGTATCTCCCTGATCGCCTTTCCACCTGCTGGTGAGAATACCTGGATCTTCTTGGCTTTCCTGTAGCTAACATAGATCTGATCATCACTGTCTACAGTTATGCTAGTAAATCCACCTTCATCGTGTCCCAGAGTCTCAAAAGATACATTCAACTTTGTGTAGTCTAGTGTGTACAGTGCGATACTGTTTGAGCCATCAAGTATAACATACCGATCATCAGAGAGGAACCCTACTCCAAGAATCGAACCTTCCTTGACGACTTTCTGCTGATGCTGACCATCAGCAGAGAAGATTTCCATGTTACCTGTAATACATCCTACTGCCATCCTATCGTCTGACGTACTAACCATGGCATTCATACTACCCTCATTAGGCAAAGCGATGATCTTTGCAACTGCATTTACGATCTTACCAAGACCTAGCTCGTCCATTTCAAAGTTTCTCTTAAAACTGACACTTTTTCCTTTCTTGATCGACTGCCTCGGCTGCTTGTAGTCAGGATCTTCTTGTTTCAAGGCCTCCTGTAAGTCTTGACATAGAGTGTCGTGTGCAGCCAAAGCATCCGTATCTGACGGTACCTTTGTCCTACTGGTTACCACGTCAGCTATGGTGGTCAAGTGTGTAATGTGCTCCTCAGCCGATTTCTTCATTTCGTCCAGTTCTTTCTTTACTCCTTCGGTCCTACCATTGACTTCGCCAATGAGGATTTCTTTCTTCTCTGTCACCTGCCGGACTAAATCATCGTATGCTTTTTTGATATCGTCTGTACACTGCTTCTGAACATTGCTCACATGCTCCTTCTGTTCATCAATGAAATCAACGTATTTCTGAAAGCAAGAGCTTTTCTTGTCCGCTTTGGATTTGAGGTCCTCGATACTTTTCATATGGCTGCTTTCATAGACAGCTGCCTCGATGACCCCGTGTCCTTCCTTTGTATGCTCAATGACAACACATCTGAAGCAAGCAAATCTCCTGCAGACGGAACAGAAGCACTCCTCATCCTCTTTTGGGTGTTTCCTGCATTTACGGTACCTACGTACTGACACCTTCCCTGATAGGATCTCACTCATCGCTAAGACCTCATGATTGATGAAGTTTTGCCACTGAGAGTGTTTGTTGTGGCAAGCGATACAGAAATACATGCCACAGTCTTGACAGTAGACAACAGCTTGGGGTTGGTCCTCGGATTTACAATGTGTGCAATACTGATATTGATTCTTTACGTCCTCTATGAGAGACTTCAAAGCTAAATTGGTCGGCAATTTGTTGACATCTTGGTTTTGGACCTGGGTTTCAGCCCTGCAGACAGGACATCGAAGCATCTGGTCGTTACCATAGAATTCCAAGAGGTTGTTCAGACATGTCTTGCAGTAGGTGTGAGAACAAGATAGGATCTTGGGATCGGTGAAGGTATTCAGACATACAGGACACTCCAGACTCTGAACAATGACATTCTTAAATGCATCAGCCATGATTCGAATTCTACAGGAATACGAGATAAGGAAAAGGAAAAAAAAATAATGGTGAGTGTAGCTTCGGTTCATCTGATGTTAAAGAGATTTGTTTTTTCATTTTCCGCACACCATTCCCATACAGAATATAGCGCGCGCGCACAACAGTTTTGGATATGATATTTCGTTTTATATCCCTTCTATGAATACTCATGAGTATTCTAAATACATGATTGGTCAATTGGTGCTCACGTGATAAAATATCATTTCAATAGGAAAATAAATATCTGCCAGAGCTCCGAATATTTTTCACTATTTTTTTCCTGTGCAGAACTGCTCACTGTTCATTGACAAAATTTGTGTCAAATCCTTTGTCGCTCTTCGGTCACTGTACATTATAATGGGTAAATGATAATAATAATAATATTAATAATAATGATATCAATAATTATGATAATAATGATAATAATAGTAATGATGAATGTTATAATAAAATGAATTTAATATTAATAATAACGATAACAATAAAAAAAGACAAATAATAATAATGACAAAATTAATAATGATAATGACAATGATAATTATTATATCAACAAAAATAACAATAATCATATCATGCCTTCTTTACCCAGATAGACTCATATGTATACTGAGGACCCTGTAGTCATACTCTGGCTTTAGCCAACCTTCCATGATAATGTGCTCATACAAGCATTATTTTATGCCACGCCTTTTTTCCTACCGGTTACCCATTCACTATACACCAGGGTTGGGTGGATATAGTGACAAAATAATGTAGAGTAAAACACCTATACATGATTGTATTGCAACTAGTCATGCTAGTAGACATTTTGTGAAAATCTTAATTGTACAAGTCATAATACATTGCATCAGTTGAAGCCCAAGCATGGTTTAAAGGCAAACCGTTGAAAATTAAACAAAAAATTAAATACAAATCTCAGAAATAATTTACCATTCGCATTTTAGCACTTTGTTATTGGGGAAATAATCATGACATTATTTCTTCATTAAACTGAAACCAAGTGTCATGTATTGATGATGATGTCATACCAGGGGGTGTTCCCCCCCCCCCCCCCCCCCACTCAGTGTTATTTAGGGTACGCGTATGCATGTTCCCTCCTTTTGAAAGCACCCCCCCCCCCCCCCATCTCCGGTGTGTAAAGTCAATACGGGCCGGACTTTTTGTTGCGTGAAAAGTACCCCTTTTTATACCGGAGATTTTGGGAAAACGAATGCGGTGTTTCACAAAGACTAAGATCGAGTTAAGTTGGATTTGAACTATGGCAGGCCATTCATGCCACCGATTGCTCTCAACATTATGATATTTAGATAATACTTTTTCCTTCAATAATGAATTATCAAGAAATATAAATTCTGTACATTTGTTACCATGATTTGTACGTCCTTTGAGAAACCAATGGCGGTAAATGGTGAGAGCAAACAGTGGCATAAACGGTCTGCCATAGTTAAGTCCATCTTAAAGCGATCTGTGTCTTGGTGAAACACCCCCGATGATTCACAATTTATTGTAGGCCTATAGTTGTGCATGCATCGAGCGAAATAAACTTGCTTTGGAATTTTATACCAAGAGTATCAAACGTGTGCTCATTATCTATCTAGAGTATTTATCTGTGTTCCTTTAAGTAAGAGAAATTGACACCTAGTATACAAATTCGCAAAATTTGAACGAAAAAAACATGATCCGCGATCTACATGCAGGTATGATGCAGATGTTGATAAACATACATTATTTTTGACATAGAATTTAGGCTTTGAACAACTCTAAAACTTAGTAGGCAACATTTTGTATTAATCCTTATAAAGCTGATGAAGTATAAAAAGCAGTACTTTAAACATAATTGTACTTATGCACAGGGCCCTGGGAACGATTTTTTCACCGGGGGTGCTGAGATATATATACACGTATACACAGGGGCGGATCTAGCTTTTTGCCAAGGGGAGAGTTTGACCCAATGACGATGCAGAGCATCGTCCTCGAGCCGCGAAGCAGCGAGGCGATTTTTGGTGCTATTTTGAACCCCTGTAAGTGATGTTTTCCTGGTATCTACATGTACTAACTTGCGGAGCATCATCCACGAGTCGCGTAGCGGCGATGCTTTTTGTGTTGCTATTTAGAACCCCGGTAAAAGATGTTTTCTTGGCATCTACTATCATGCGGAGCATCGTCCACGAGCCGCAAAGCGGCGAGGCGATTTTTTTTTTTTTTTTTTTGGGGGGGGGGGGCTACTTTTCCTGGCATCTACTTTGCTATTTTAAAGTTTGAACCACCCGTAAGTGATGTTTTTCTGGCATCTACTAACATGCGGAGCATCGTCCACGAGCCGCAAAGCGGCGAGGCGATTTTTTTGCTATTTTGAACTCCCGTTAGTGATGTTTTCCTGGTATCTACTAACTTGCGGAGCATCATCCACGAGCCGCGTAGCGGCGAGGCTTTTTTGTTGCAATTTATAACCCCCGTAAAAGATGTTTTCCTGGCATCTATTATCATGCGGAGCATCGTCCACGAGCCGCAAAGCGGCGAGGCGATTTTTTGGGGGGCTACTTTGAACCCCCGTAAGTGATGTTTTCCTGGCATCTACTTTGCTATTTTGAAGTTTGAACCCCCGTAAGTGATGTTTTCCTGGCATCTACTAACATGCGGAGCATCGTCTACGAGCCACGAAGCGGCGAGGCGATTTTTTTTGCTATCTTGAACCCCCGTAAATTATGTTTTCTTGGTATCTACTAACATGCGGAGCATCGTCCACGAGCCGCAAAGCGGCGAGGCTTTTTTTTTTGCTGTTTTGAACCCCCGTAAATGATGTTTTCCTGGTATCTACTATCATGCGTATCATCGTCTACGAGCCGCATAGCGGCGAGTCGATTTTGAACTCCCGTAATTTTTCCAGAAGTTGTAGCAAGCTGACCTTCCCGCCCAATATCGTCTAACCATAATTTGCATATATCAAAATTATCCCATTTATCCATGGTTTCCTTCGCAATTTAAGAAATTTAATTGTTCTACATCTATTAGCTTAATGTGATCACCACTTCACAATCATTAAAAAGACAGGAACACAATAAATATAAAACATATCTGACATTTATGAAATAGTACCAGCTTTAACATAGCTTGAACTTTATTACAGGACGTTCTCAATTGTTCAGAAAGATGTTTCGTGTGTAGGTGTTTATCTTTCCATTCAAACAACACTGCATAATTTATTTATAATTCAACAAAATGTTTAAGATGTTACGTCATAGATTGATGAACAATATTTTGATTATTCAAACTCAATTACTCATGGCATGAATCTCAGAGAGTTAAGAGTTTGCGAGAGAGTAAGAAAGTGAATGCATCCCTCCTATATCTTACTTCTCAGTTGATTTATTGGTTTTTTATTATCTTGTATTCTTGTAGGCATTTAATCATATTCGAGCATTCATTTACAGACCAGCAATGATTTGAAATGTGGTTTAGTTCTGGAGAAGAAATATTCATCTAGATGTAAGTAAGTTCATAATATCAACTTTTGGTCCCACTGCTTGGAATAATTTTCCACTGTACATGCCTTCATGCCCTTCAGTTTGATCTTAAAAGATAAAATCAAGGAAGTAATACAGTCTGTGTATTAATTTAAAACATGGTACAAGCAGAAAAAATATATATACACGATATTAATTTCACAAGGCTTTGCTCAAAAAGCAAGAATGCGTATTTGACATCAAGCTATACGTGAATGATTACTATCAACGGTGTCGATTTGTATCCGTGGTTGGGGGGGGGGGGGATGATAGGTGCCAAAATATTTTCGGCATTAGATCAAAGCAACCAAGAGGTAGAAGCAGGCACGGATCCTTTTTTTTTTTGTTGGGGGGGGGGGGGGGTAGACAAAAAAAATCCCCATCACCCCACTCTTACATGCAGGCTCTGCTGAATTTTTCTCGGCGGGGGTCCAGGGGCGGAGCCCCCCGAAGCTCAGAGGTTTTGGGCAATAAATTACGGTCAGATGAGCATATTTTGATACCTTATTTGTGACACTGATAGGTCACGAATCGGCGTGGGGTCCTGGCCCCTGGGGGCGGAGCCCTCGGAAGCTCAGGAGTTTTGGGCAATAAATTACGGTCAGATGAGCATCCAGCCGTCTGCCTTAGGGCCCTAGGTGGGGTCCAGGGGGCAGAGCCCCCGGAAGCTTAGGAGTTTTAAGGCATTTAATCACGGTCAGATGAGCAACAAAAAAATTGAGCCCCGGAAATTGGAAAATTACGTCGTCAGATATTTCGTTCAGGGGCTTGGGGGGGGGGGAGGAACACTTTTTTGTTGCTTTCTTTGCCATTTGGACAAAACCGTCTTTCTCTTCAATGATACAATATTTTATTACTTTACTTGCATTATGAAAAAAACGCATCATTAACCCCACATAGTCATAGCTTTAAAAATCACTTCAGATTGAACTGGCCAAAAGTCATGTGATATTCTTGTCTCATATACGGTTGTCTTATTTACTTCGTTTTCTATTTATATATGTATGTATTATGAAAATGAGATAGAAAATGTGTATATTGATGGTCATCTTGCGAGTAATAACCATTAACTACTCTCAGCGGGCTCTCATCGTTAATTTCTCTCTTCATTTTTTTTGTTGATGGTGAAATATTGGAGGGGATGGTTGTACAGGCCACCCCCCCCCCCCACCTGAAATATTGGGGGATATATCCCCCCATCCCCCCCCCCCCCAGGATCGACACCCATGATTACTATTAATATAATCTTCTTTTTTTTAAATTATGAAACAATATGTCTTTTATGTATATTTTGTTATCTGTATTATTTCTGCATGTGAAATGTGAAATCAATAAACTCAACTCAACAACTCAACTATTGATGTTGCTCCTTGAATTTAAATCATATTAATTTGATTTTGTAAATGAAGAGTTCTGTCTCGTTTTGTGTGACAAGGCGAAATTCTGTTTATGCCACTCTTTGCATTCATCGAATAAATCGTCCTGAAGGTTTCAACAGTGAA